TCTGAAGGCAGCGGCGAAGGATCAACAAAACCAGCCTCTCCGAACCCAACCAATTTTTTTTTCGTCTCTTTTTTTTTTGTTTCTTCTTCTTCTCTCTCTCTCTCTCTCTCTTTCTCTTTCTCTCTTTCTCTCTCTGTATCTTAAACGAAAAGAAGACGTCCTTCTGGCTCTTCCTGGAATCTCTTAACTCGATCCTAGGATTTTTGCTGAGAGTTCTCATTCCTAACCACACATGCGTGCCTTCGATCGATTCTATACATTATTCTCTCCTAATAAAAAACTGAATTATAAAATTATATACATATGTATATATACATATATATATATATATATATTATAAATAATTTATAATATATATATATATATATATATATTATAAATAATTTATAATATATTATATTCATATTATATTGTATATTATAAATTTAACATATATATATCTATAATATATATAGCACACACATACACTGTATATACCGTATAATTATAATATATTATTATATAATATAGTTTATATTGAAATACGTGTTAATACATTTACTGTACTAAATTCACTATAGTAACAATCGAATAATATAATTTTCGAGTCGTTTGTTAGAAGGTATTGCCACGAAGATAAAGAAAAAGAAAAGAAATGAATTGACGAAATATTTCAAAAAAAAAAAAAAAAAAAAAAAATAAAAGAAAAGGAAGAGAAAAAAAAATGGAAGTGATACAAGATCAAGCCTATAAGAAGAGCCCTAAACTGTTAAAGCCTTCCCTTTCGTTTTATCGTGGAATGTATGACGTCATACATATGTACGTCCACAGGATGTGGTCGAGAAATTCCTAGGATAGAAAGCAACGTATATATTTTATCCGGCGTGAAAAAAAAATCATTCTTTGCCACCATTTGCATCCTTATCAAAATGACCTTGTCGCCTATTCGGTATTCCAAACAATTTCTGTATATATATATATATATATATATATATATATATATATATATATATATATATATACATACATACATATATATATATATATACGTATATACATATGTACACATGTGTATCTATATATGTATACACAGAAATAAATCAAATATAATTAATTTCTCGAATTTTCGAAGAATTTTGTTCATTTCTTTTCTTTTCTTTTCTTTTCTTTATTTGTTTTTTGTACTTTGTATTTTTTTGTTATCTTTTTTTATTTTTAAAACTTGGCTCGCTTTATAGTACAATAAGGTTACCGAAGGGTTAAGGCCTCGAAATCTTAGCTGCGTGTCATTGTTCCTCGGGACAAGAGGTACAAGAGTAATACGAGAAAGCAGCTGAAGTAGAGATAGAAAAGCGAAAACAAGACTCCCCATCTACTTTTGAAACTTACACCTATTGTCGTCGTTTACATACTTGTTCGTAGAGAAATCATTTCTGGTTTTAATTACTTGTGGAACATTTTCGTTCTTGTACATATATATATATATATATATATATATATATATATATATATATTTATTTATGTATGTATGGGTTGTATATATCTACGAAATTTTGTTATTGTAATATTTTTAGAAATACTAAATAATTCCAATAATTTTAGAAACGACGACTCATGTAGACACACATTATACACTCATATATATATACAAAGTGCAAATAAATTCATACACTCATATATATACATAACATATGTAAAGACAGATATTATAAATTTTATCGTATCTGTAAAATGGCTGCCAAATATATACATACATACACATATACATACATATATACATATATATATATATAATATATATACACACGTACATATATTATACGTGCTATTTCTAATTTCGTTGACAATGGTAACGCTTACAAAGTTCTATCGATGAATCACATGTTTTAATTTCGGACATGTACTTACATTCTTACGAGAAACATCGAGCGATCACGTCAAGTGAGTGAGAGAGTAAATGAGTGAGTAAGCGAGTGAGTGAGTGAGTGAGTGAGTGAGTGAGTGAGTGAGTGAGTGAGTGAGTGAATAAGTGAGTGAGTGAGTGGGTCACGGGCTTTGCGTTCGAAGAATCACGAATGAGAATCGCCGTCAAAATATTCTCAAAGCCCAATAGCTTCGATTTATATGTAAATATATATATATATATATATATATATATATATATATATATATCATAGAAATGAGATTCTACTGATGACCTTGACACAATTGGAGACCGAAAATTTTCGAAGGTATAAACTAGGCTAGTGAAAGGACGTGATAGGAAATGAGAAAGGAGAGTTGAAGTCTGGAGCATAGAAGTTGGACTTTTAATGATTTTTAGTGAGATCAAATCTTATTTCTCGATCGTTATAAATAAATTTCCAAATATTCATGTACGGTATCTGCGTATATTTGCATATATTAAACGTTATTAACCCGTACTATTTATTTACTTCTTAATCGTTGCAAGTTTCCTCCTTTTTTTTCTTCTATTTTTATTTCTTTCTTTTTTATTTTTATTTATTTTTTTTTTATTTTTTTTTATTTTTTTATTTTTTCTTTTTGTTATTTTTTCTTTTTGTTATTTTTGATTTCTCAACCGACGTTTATATTGGAATCAATTGTAAAACCGTAGCCTCGCTGAAAATAATCCATCTGAGTCATCATCCATCGGCAAACAAGCGCAAAGGCGATTCTCCACTTTAACAGGCCAAACTTTTTATCCGATGATGTTACATTACGTGTCTGCCAAATGTATACCTACGCTTTTTGGACAATGACAGAGATTTAATGCTGAATTTGCCGAAGATCCAAATTAATTGCGACTTAAAGATATGCCAAAATTACTATTCCTTATGATCTTTTCACTTATATTATGATATTTGTCGTGTTTTTATGGAAGGCTCACGTGAAATAGATAAAAATAGATTTTCTTCGTTTGGATAATACATGTTAGTTACATAGTAGTGTAGTCGTTCTAACCAAGATCACGTTCACGCTTAAGTACTATTTTGAGATTGGAGAAGGAACGAGGAAGTCAACCGACGAAGCATTTGTTTTGAAAATTATTATCTCGAAAGGTTTGACAAGCGTAGGCTTCTCTCTCTCTCTCTCTCTCTCTCTCTCTCTCTCTCCCTTTTTCTTTCTCTCCACACGTTTATGATTTCATTCTAGGCGTGGTAATTTTCGATTTTTCTTCTAGCAAGTTACGCAAGTATTATTCTCATGTTGTTCCATCATCTCATTGTTATTTTCCGTGATCAAGATCGTATCTTATAGTCTATACTAAAAATAACTATTTCTATGTTATCGCAAGAATTATACTTTTTTTATGCTAATTTTGTAATATATAATGTACTACGTAATATGTTAAGTATCGACTCCTTCTTTTTTTTTTCCCCTCTGAAACATTGTATTACACAGAAGTCATATTCTTTTAATCAAATTTTAAACGAAAATTATTCCAACGATTTATCGTTCATCTTCTTTAAGTATATTTTATTATTATTATTATTATTATTATTTAAGTATATATATATATATATATATGTATATGTATATGTATATAATTCGCAGATTCCACGGATATCGTCGACTGCAAATTGAAACTGATCTTAGGATTAATATGGACGTTGATTCTTCATTATTCGATTTCGATGACAATGTGGGATGGGGAGGATGGAGACAATTACGACAAAGGAGCAACACCGAAACAAAGACTGATGCATTGGGTTCAATCAAAAGTTCCAAATTTACCAATCACGAATTTCACTTCCGATTGGAACGATGGCCGAGCCGTTGGTGCACTCGTTGATGCGGTTGCACCAGGTCTTTGTCCAGATTGGCAAGATTGGAATCCGAAAGATGCAGTACAAAATGCATCAGAAGCTATGGGTTTGGCCGATGATTGGCTCAACATACCGCAGGTTCGTTCAAATGAAATCACTTTTCTTTTTTTTTTCTTTTCTTTTTTTTTCTTTTTTCTTCTTTTTCTTCTTCTTCACTTTTCTTTTTCGTTAATCGATGAATATCTTTATCAGATTAGATTAATAAGGTACTATTTCTTATCGTAGTTGATAAAACCAGAAGAGATGGTTAATCCCAACATCGATGAGATGTCGATGATGACGTATCTCTCTCAATATCCCAACGCCAAATTGAAACAAGGTGCACCTTTGAGACCACGTACCAATCCAAATAGGTAAGGACAATTTGATTTACGTACATATCCTGCAATTTGATCTATTTATTTTTTTTTGTTACCTTCCTATCTTACATTTTGATGCATTTATTAGAGTGAGAAGTGCCACCTGATATGTTATTTTGAATCCTCGATTCTTTTTCTTTCTCTTTGTCTCTGTCTCTCCCTCTCTCTCTCTCTCTCTCTCTCTCTCTCTCTCTCTCTCTCTTTCTGTCTCTCTGTCTCTCTTCCTTTCTCTCTTTTTCCTTGTCTTTGTATCAGATTACTTTTGTATTTTGTGATTTAGTCTCTCTTTACGTGCATCTTCTTCTATACCTTTGATAATAGTTAGGTCTGATACCATCAATCATATTTATCGAAGTTATGTTCGATAAAATAAGAACATTATTTTTTGTTGTATACAATGATTGTCGATTGTTTCAGACCTATTATAGAATTTCTTTTTTTCTTTCCTTTTTTTCTTTTTTAATTTGTTATTGTTATCTTTTCTTTCTTTTTTTATTTATTTTTTCCTTTTCTTGGGAAGATACGATAGATATGTATTTCATTCTATCGTAGTTTGTATAGTAAATATATGTGTATATATATACATATACACATACATACATATATATATATATATATACACACACGAGGGGTGTAGATAAAACGTATTTCTCAATATCGAATTAAAATGTCTAATTAATAAATTTATTTCATTTCTCGGTCGCAGCATCCCCCCTCCGCGGTAAGTTGCGCAGCAACGATGTCTTGACATGCGTATAATTTATATTATATATATATACATTCACACGTATTCATAAATTTACAAACAAATCGTATTATTAGTTTTATGCAATTAATCGCCCTGCCTATTTTAGCCGTGAAATTCAGATCGATCAAGAGCAATTTTTTTCCCCTTTTTTCTTTCTCATTTTTTTTTACTTTTCTTTTTTTTTTTTATTCTAATTCCTTTTTTTTTTTTTTTTTTTTTTTTTTATTCTTTTTTTATTCACACGCTCTCATACACGTTCCAACATCATAATATTTTCTATTCGTTTAAATTGTTGTTGTTGTTGGTTTCTTTTCGTTTTATTTTATATTTTTTCTTTCTCTTTCTTTGTTCCTTTTTTATTTTTTATTTTTTATTTTTTTTTTCATCTCTCTCATTTGTTCCCTTATGTTTCATTCAGTTTTGATTTTGATTTGGATTTTGTTCAACTCTAATGCGTGTCATCACGAGCTTTTTATTAGATTTATGGTTTATGTAGTGAATCGCTTGTGACGCCATAAATATCGAACAAAGTGCGTTTAAATGTGCGATAATATAAATGCGTTTGTTCTCACGAGTAAGGGTAAACGTTTGCAAATTGATTAACCATTAACACGAGAGAAAAAAGAAATAATTTAGAAAAAAAAGTAATGGAAATGTTTTTTTTTTTTTTTCTTTTTTTACATATTTCGTCAACAAAAGTTTTACGCGTGATTTCACGAATAAAAGAAAAAAAAAAAAAAAAAAAAAAGAGAATAAAGAATGTTCCGAGTCTTTGACATTCTCACTGTAATATTATTGTACATGTACAGACTTTCGTATTATAATGTATCTCTCATACATACATATCTCCTGCATTAGAACTATAAACGGATATATAACGTCGTGTTTATAAATCGTTTCATTAGGATGATTTCTATTGTCTTTTTTCTTTTATCTTTTTTTCTTTTTTTCTTTTTTTCTTTTCTCCCCTATTTTAATCTAGCACGTCGATATTAAATAAAAAGTATTATTTCCTGTTTCCTGTTAACGCATTGATTTATTAAGCAATAAAGTCATATGATCGATAAAAAGTTATGATTAGAATAAAAGTTTGATAAGAGGGAATTAATTGTATCTTGAAAAGAAATAAAGGAAAATTAAAAGGAAAAAAAAACAAAAAAAAAAAAAAAGAACAGGAAAAATTTTAGCAGGAACGTCGGCCGTATTAAAAAACAAAAACAAAAACAAAAAAAGATGTGATAATGCTTATAACCGTTTGACAAACTCGTGTGATAACGCGATTGTATTTTTTTCTTATCTTTCGTTTTCTTCTTCTTTTTTCATTTTTTTTTTTCTTTTTTTCTATTTTGTCAATTTGCTTTTCATTTCTTATATTCTCCTTGCTTTATACAGAGTGCGTGCATATGGACCTGGTATCGAATCAGTCGGTCCGGTTGTTGGTGTACCGGCCAATTTCACTGTCGAGACATTTTCTGCTGGCAAGGGAAATGTTGAAGTCTCTGTTGAAGATCCTAAGGGAAATACCATACCAGTAAGAAATTTGATCTTTTTTGTTTCTTTTTTTTCTTTCTTTTTTTTTTTTTTTCTTTTTTTTCTTTTCGTTAAAAATATTTATGCAAAAGTTCTTTACGACGTAGTAAATAATAAATAAAAAAAATTTACGTGTATACGTATGGATTTCGAATCGTTCATTTTAATTTGATTTATAATTTTTGTTTAAGATCGATATCAGATTTTAGTTGAAAGTATTGCAAAAGTTTTTTACGACGTAGTAAATAATAAATAAATAAATAAATAAAAAAAAAGAAAAAAAAAACGCATTGCATGTACAAATATGCATATAGAATCGTTCATTCTAATTTGATTTATAATTTTTGTTTAAAAACGCGACTAATTGAAAATATTGCAAAAGTTTTTTACGACGTAGTAAATAATAAATAATAAATAAACATTTATTTTTATACGTACGGGTTGTTTAATCATTCGTTCATTCATTTATATATATAATATTATATAATATTTTTTTAGGCTGACGTTAGATTCAACAAGGATAGAAATCTTACATATTCCGTTTCATATACGCCAAGAATCGAAGGACCTCATAAAGTAAAAATACTCTTTGCCGGAAGGGAAATACCAAAGAGTCCATATACGGTCAGTGTTGAGGGTCATGCGGGAGATCCTAGTAAAGTAACAGCAAGCGGACCAGGTCTTCAACGCGATGGAGTCGTCGTGAATAGGCCTACTTATTTCGACATATTCACTAAGGACGCTGGTCGTGGTGTACCGGAAGTTATCATTTTGGATCAACAAGTAAATATACGAGAAATAAAATATAATGAGGAAGTATTTAGTCGACGTTAGAGAGAGAGAGAGAGAGAGAGAGAGAGAGAGAGAGAGAAAGAAAAAAAAGAAAAGAGAGAGGGAGAGAGAGAGAGAGTGAGAAAAAGAAAAAAAATACAATGCAATGCAATGATTCACGTTTATTTCGTAGGGCTCGAAAACTACGGTGCCTGTAAAATTACGTCAGATCTTTCCGGATGTTACAAGGTGTGAGTACGTATCTCCAGTAACTGGTTTACATTCCGTTAATATCTTCTTCGCTGGTAAACTCATACCTGGAAGTCCGGTTGGTGTGAACGTTGCTCCTGTCTCCGATGCTAAAAAATGTCGGGCTTATGGCCGAGGACTTTTACCAACAGGCGTTAGGGTTAATGATACCGCAGATTTCGTCATTGTTACAAAGGACGCTGGTGAAGGAGTACCGGAGATTAAAGTAATTGGTCCAGGAGGTATCAATCAAACAGTACAGTAAGTAACAGTATAATAAGTCAATGAAAATATTAAATCGTTGATTTTCAATCTTATAAATATTTTAAAATACATATGTTTTGTTCAATATTTCATAGGATGACTAAGGCAGACGCTAATACATATAATTGTTCTTACGTACCAACGAAGGAAGGTCGATATGTAGTAATGATTACGTTTGGTGGTAAAGAAATACCAAAGTCACCATTCGAAGTGAACGTTGGTCCATATAAGGAGTCTGCGATTTGGGCATTTGGTCCAGGTCTTAAAAGTGGTATAGTTGGACATCCAGCCAGGTTTACCGTCGATACTAACGGTGAAACCGGTGCTCTTGGATTCTCGATTCAGGGACCTTCTAAAGCAAACATCGAATGTCACGATAATGGTGATGGAACAGCTGACGTATCTTACTTACCTACGGCACCCGGACAATACGCTGTACATATACTTTGTGATAACGAAGATATACCATCGTCTCCTTACATTGCAAATATTGTACCAAAGACCGATTTCGATCCGGAAAAGGTTTGTTAGATTTATTATTAGTTTAAAATAATTACTTTATTTTCCTTTCCAGTGTTTAATTTTCAATATGTATTTGTTAATTTTATTCTTTTTAGGTAGAGGTACATGGTCCAGGAATTCAACCGGATAGCGTTGCAAAAGATAAACCGACTCATTTCATTGTGGATCCTAGAAAAGCTGGTGGTCAGGCACGTTTGGAAGTAGCTATTCAAGATGTTTTTGGTAGACAAGTTCCCGTTCGTCTCGAAGATAAACGAGACGGGACGATACAAGCATATTATACACCGACTTCTGCCTCTCAGCACGTTATAATGGTGATTTATTAAATTATTATTGTAAAATCAAAGACGAAGGTGTTAAATGCGACCAATTAATAAAATTTAATTATAATATAATTATTTTATTATTAGGTAAATTATGGTGGCGTTGCTACTAAAAAGTCTCCGTACAGAGTAAAGGTAGCTGCACCTTTGAATCCAGCTGCGGTGACAGCTTTTGGGCCAGGTATCGAAAGAGGTGTAAAATCAAATGTTCCTACTCATTTTAATATCGATTGCCGTGAGGCTGGACCTGGCAATATGGATGTGACCATAGTCAGTGAAGACGGACGAGAATTACCTGTTTCCTTAACCGATAACGAAGACAATACATACAGCGTGGGATACGTCGCTCCACAACCAGGAAATTATTTTGTCAATCTATCTTACGGTGGTCTCAAGGTACCTACGTGTCCTATCGCGGTCAATGTTCAACCGCACATCGATGTCTCCAGAATCAAAGTGGATGGTCTTGAACCTAGTGAGTATATAAATATATATACATATATATATATACATACACACACACACACACATGCATATATACATACATACCATTTGATATTTATATTTATCAAACGAATCGAAATTTCATTTATCAAATGTTGCGTATTTATTTCACAATATCATATCGTACGTCTTGAGATTAAATTCCTTTAAAGAAGAGTCATTATTCCAGACAATATGGATATCGAAATATTCCATTAGTGTCCCGCGTAGTTTTATTTGTAACAGGTCATTCGTTAAAAATTGATGAGCATGTAAGAAACGTCGACATTTACAAAGATACGTTATATCGTGTTCAAAGTAGAATGATGGACACGATACGACGCTAGGTACGAACAAGACTATAAAAACTCGTGTTAAATAGTTGAGAGACTCTTGAGGGGTCATACATACGTAAAAACGCTCTCCGCACAGCTGCACCGGTGAACAGCCTGCAGCAGTTCCGCGTGATAACGCAGGATGCTGGAAAGGTGGCTGACTTTCAAGTGGCTATAACGGCGCCATCGGGTAATCGCGTTAAGGCCCACATCTTACCGACGCATGAAGGTTATCTGGTCAACTTTACGCCGACGGAATTGGGCGAGTACTTGTTGGGCATCAGTTTTGGCGGTGAACCAATCTCAAGTCAGCCCTATCGTCTCAACTGCGTTCACGGTTCTGATCCTGGCAAAGTCAGAGCTTCTGGTCCTGGTCTATCTCGTGGTGTCGTTAACAAGCCAGCAGAATTTGTTATCGATACGAGAGGTGCAGGTCAAGGTGGACTTGGCGTTACAGTCGAGGGTCCTTGCGAGGCTGCCATTAATTGTCGAGACAACGGCGATGGCACTTGTTCCGTTGCTTATCTCCCTACCGAGGTCGGCGATTATGGGATAAATATTACCTTCAATGAGCAACACGTGCCCGGCTCACCATTCCAGGCCATCGTCGTTCCCGATACTGACGTTTCAAAAATCAAAGTCACCGGAAATGGAATTCAGCCACACGGTATCGTCAAGCCGTCAGGGCAATATGGTTTTTTAGGAATGCGAAAAACCGTGATTGTTAGTGTGCGTGTGTAAGGATAAAAAAAAAAACGGCAAATAGATTGCTCGTAATCTTACGATCATATTGGATTTATTATTTTAGAGAAGGATTTTCTTATTGAAAATGTCATTTGAATTTTTAACGACGTTACTTTACGAGCAATCCATTCATCCTAGTAATACAGGTGCCTTACGAACTGATAGTGATCTCAGGAGTGTTCGAAACAATGCATGAATTAATCGTTGATGCTGACTTTTTCATTTGCACCTATTTGCGATAGTTTTTTTTTTCTTTCTTTACCTTTCGCTTTCGAAAAATATTCCTCGTTAGGATGCTATGCCATGCTTAAATAATGATTACTTTTGTTTTCCTTTTCCTTTTCTTTTTTGTTTTCTCTTTTGAATATTATTTCTTTTCTTCGATAAATTATTGTACTAACATTAGATTAAGTCACGACAAATAGACAATTTTAGTGGGTGAAAACGTAGATTGCAAAAGAAAAAAAAAAATGAATGAATGAATGACTAGATAAGTGTGTTTAAATTAGAAGAAAATGTATTTTATCATGATGCTTTGATTTACCTCTTCACAATATTTGTATATAGTTAGAATGTTTATAGCGTTATAAATAAGAATTTGAATCGATATAGAGTGATATTGTACGAAAGAAAAATTTATTAAAATTGTTTTTATAAAACTGTAGCTAAATGGTAATCATCAAAATAGTGAGAAATAAGATTTCAATCGTGATTTTTTTCCTTTTAAGGTCTGTACTTGAAGCAACCAACGGAATTTACGATAGACACCAGAGCAATTGCTAAGATGAAGAATGACGAAGATTTAGTTTCCTGCGTTATCAGTAATCCAAGCGGTGGAAAGACGGAGAAAGTAATCATTCCTCAAGGAGATGGAACGTATCGCGTCAGTTATACACCTTTCGAAGAAGGACGTTATACCATCGATATTCTTTACGACAACATTCCAGTGCCAGGATCACCGTTTACCGTTAACGTTAAACGTGACAGTGATCCAAGTAAATGTCGTGCTTATGGTCCAGGTTTAGAGAAGGGTTATGTTAACAAGGCTAATCAATTTACCGTAGAGACTAAAGGTATCCTTTTCGTGTATTCTAATTGATCTCAAAGAAATCTATCATATAGATATAATGTATCAAGTATATTGATCTTTCCTGTTTCCTTTTTTTTTTTTTTTTTTTTTGCAGAGGCCGGCAATGGTGGTCTCGGTTTAGCGATCGAAGGTATACGCGAGGTCAAAATGACATGCAAAGACAATTACAATGGTTCATGCAGCGCAGAATATATCCCAATGGAACCAGGAGAATATGACATCACTATAAAGTTCGCCGATCAGCATATACCTGGTTCACCTTTCAAAGTTCAAGTAATATCGGATAGCAATGCTAAGAACGTCGTTGCTTATGGAACCGGGCTCGAGCCTGAAATGGTGAGAGAGGGTGTACCAGCGAAATTTGTCGTTGATACTTCGAAATGCGAACCAGCGAAGTTAGACGTTAGATTAAAGACCGACAAAGGACAGGTGCAAAAGCCAGAAATTAAAAGCCGAAGTGACGGATTGTACGAGGTTACTTATCAGCCACCACCTGCCGGTAGTACTGTTCAAATCGGTATAACTTATGACGGCGAGGAAATAGATGATAGTCCATATGCCATTAAAGTTTTACCTACCGTTGAACCAAATAAAATTCTTCTCACTGGACCTGGAGTGTCACCTGTTTGTACTGCTTCCTTCCCAACGGAATTTGTCGTTGATACTTCTCAAGCTGGATATGGCGATCTCGAGGTTCAAGTTTTGGTAAGCTATATTAATTACATTATCTGTATAACACTTAATATATCTATAATATTTTAATTCACGTAAATGTGTATCTTAGGGTCCGGATCAAGCACCCCGAAGAGTCGAAGTTCAAGATTTAGGTGAAGGAAAATACAAGGCCACATATTTGCCCGATGATTGTGGTCGATACAAGGTCAATGTGAAATACGGAGGTAAAGAAGTACCAGGTAGTCCGGTTTTGGTTCAAAGCGTTTCCACTGGTAAAGCTGAGAAATGTAAGATCAAGGAAGGTATCCAACATACCTTGGCACAGGGTGAAGAATATTGTATAACCGTTGATACCGAAAATGCTGGAAGAGGGGCAGTCACTTGTCGTATTCGTTCTACGTCAGGCAGGTAAAGAAAAGAGAAGAAAAAAAAAAATTTTTTTTTATATCTCGCTATTATTTTTATTCCGACATATCGTCATTCTAAAAAAGAAAAAAGAAAAAAAAAGAAAGAAAAAGAAGAGAGAGAGAAAAGAAAAAAAAAAGGTCTCCCCAGAAGCCAATGTAGAAAAATAGAAATGTTCGAAAGCTCGACAAGCCGACAGGGTGGCCCTCGTATCATATATTATTTCTTGTCCGCTTATTTCTTGCATTCCTTTCTATCTTTCTCTCTTCGTGCTTACGTTCCCTCATGCAGGACGATATCATCCACGGTTTTATTTTAAATAACCGTCAGCATGACCCAGATATTTATTTCGATTCACGGAATATATTCAAAACTAGAGAATGCAATCCGATTATACGAACCGATCGTAAATCATACGTTTTCTCTTCTCTTTTTTCTTTCTTTTTTCTTTTTTTTCTCTCTCGTTTTTCTTTTTTTTTTTTTTTTCTTTTAACTGTAGCACGATCGTAAATGTCTAATTCGTCGTTTCGATTCCTCCTGTCTGTCTCGTTCCCAAATTATATCCGTCGATACTTGGAAGCCAGTACGAAAATAAAAAAGTAACAAACAAGTCGAGCAGAAGAGAAAGTATATATATATATATATATATACACACACACATATACATACATATATATGTATGTATATATATATATATATATATATATATATATATATATATATATAGTATCGTCTTCCTTTAATAATATATCCTTTTTCTTTCAAATAAATATTTAATAGTCATTTACCATGCTCTGGCAATTAAACAAAAGTTAAAAGACTTATTTGCTTATTTTAATGTATTTTCACTCTTGGCACACATTTGTTCTTAACAGATCGAATACTTCTCTTTGTACATTTTCTTAGTTCTAACGGCACCATTGTTAGGATGCCAAAAACACATAGGTGAGCTTGCATTGAATCTCTAGTTTGGAATTTCGTCCGATGTCTCTTGTCTAACATTATCTTTGTCTAACATTATATTTTAAATGGTTACATAGACTTACTTATGAAACTTTTGTATATATGAGAATGTTACGGTACATGAATCACTATTTATTCGAAAGAAGATAATCGGATCGTATTAGTATAGAATCAAAATAAATAGACGATAGAAAGAAATTATTATTTCATTCATATAACTTTCGTTAGATCGATTTATTTCTTCATTATTATTATTATTATTATTATTATTATTATTATTATTATTATTATTATTATTATTATCTTTTGTTTTTTTTTCCCCCATAAAAAAATCCGTAATAAATTTGTAGAAAGTATTTCGACATTGATAAGTGAGATTCTACGATGGTTCACCTGTTGGAGCATTAGTCATGCGCCATATCAAATGTTTCGTATTTTGCCTTCAATTTTGGCAACCTATCTCTCCTCTCTCTTTCCTAGAATCGATATCTTCGAGAGAAAATTGATTATTATTATTTTTATGTTAAATTAATTTCACGAATAATATAAGAAGAAAGTTAATGAGTCGAATTTTATTTATTTATTTATTTATTTATTTTTTTTTTTAACGACAATAACAAATTTTTTTGCTTTTAAATGAACAATTATATGTTAATCGACGAGGAAATATTTTTCAATAACGATATTATCACATTTATTTGGTTTACGTCATTTCACAGTGAGGTGGTGGACATTGATATCGAAGATAATGGTGATGGAACAGTTAACATTTATTATACGGTAGCCGATGCCGGAGATTATACGCTTAGTATTAAATTTGGAGGACAACCTGTACCAGACGGTATCTATACTTTTACGGTGAGTAAACAATTTATCACGTTCTATCGATTCTCGTTAAATCAACAAATTGTAATATTAAAATTAAGTTAATAATTTCGATAACGTTTATCTTTATTTTCGATTTATTTTATTTCATTAATCGAACTACATAATTTCTCGATTGGATTGATTCATTCTACACAATGGTTTTGATTGTTCATTTTGAAAAATTATTGCGTCAAATGGCACTTAGCTCCGCTGGGGGGTATTTATACCGCTTATATTTCGGTTTCTAATGCTGCTGAATCTGGCCGCCCTGGTGGACAATAATTATATCAAAGCAAATGAGAGAAAATTGGAACAAGAGACCTGGATTCATTTTCCGTAGTTAGTTTTGTTTTACGACGATTAAATCCAAGTTAAATAAAACGAGATTAATTGATATGAATTATATGTTAGATAATAAAACTTCGATTTAATCTGTCGTAAATAAATCTATAAAGATATTTACAAAGATATTTTTTTTATTTTTATTTAATTCTATACGTATAAATTATGAATTATATAAGTTAATTGCTATAATTATATATATAGTAAATTTTTATTTTATTACTATTATTATTAATATATTTTTTTTTTTTCAACAAAAACGAATTTCATTTTTTATACAGATCATTAGATTTAATCATAATTTGTTTTGTCCAATTAAATTAAACAAAATTTAATCGTTCGTTTGCTTTTAATATTGTATTATATAAAAGTGAAGTTTGTTCGTTCGAAAAGAAAAGATAACAACGATTACAAATTTTTCGTATCTTTCAAAATGTGAATGGATCACTTTAAGTGCGATATTTTTTTTCTCTTCTTTTTTTTTTTTCCTTTCTCTTTTCATTTTTCTTTAACCTTTTTTTCTTTTTTCAATTGTCATCATCATAGATTTTAACACGATAAAAAGTCATAGAAGTGACGAAAGAAATTTGTTGTATGACGTTTGAAATATTCCGAATTATTCTAACGTATACGTAAACTCTTTGAAAAATGAAGGCAGTTAAAATATTTTGCAATTTATACGACCTTGCTCGTTATTCATCGCGACGAAAGTTTTCAGTAAGTAAAACCTTCAGTGGCAGACGAAAGTAAAATTTTCTCACGAACGAGACAGAGAAGAAATTTCGTCATTTAAGAAGCCGTTGGCATAATCTTTCAACAGCTCATAAAGGATACAGTGACATCAATTATACGCGAAAGAACAAAGTTCTCTATTTCATGAAAGAATATAATAGATACTTGTTCATAGAAAATTTATATACTTGTTAATAATTCGATCATTTTTATTTTAATAATTCGACTGATTGATAATGGCTTTTTAGATTATTAAATAATGAAATTAATTTGACATAAATGTTGATAATAAACAATTATATATAAATCATTGGATATGATCAATAACTTATGATCGATTGTAGACGTTCTTCTATAGAGTTGATTTAAAAAGAATTATATCGTTTAATGGAAATTTCATTTTTTATTTTTTTTTTTTTACAGATATTTTTAAAAATTATTAAAAGAAAGAAAGGGAGGGGAAGAAAAAATACGAAAAAAAAGAAAATGTATCAATAAGTCACATCAGAATATTGAAAATATTAATAGAACTTTAAAAATCTTTGAATATCAAATATGAAATCGATCGTATGATACCGCGTAAAAATGCAATAAATGATATGATAAATAATGATCTATTTCCATAATTTAATACTTTTTGTATTGTCAAAAATGCATAAATTATATCTGTTTAATTTTACAATCGTATACATCGAAGGATTAAACGGATAAAACGGCGACACATGTTGATACTTAAGAAATTATCTTAGGACGTTATTTGTCTTGATCTTCCTGATCCCTCTTGATCTCATCTTTTGGTTAACGTAAGATGAGGAGGAGGAGGAGGGGTTAGGTGGGGCGAGGTATATCTAACTATAGAGACAACACGTAGCAGGGCAGGATATTATCGTGTGGTCTCCAGAGGAAACAGTCCACTCCGAAGACTCATCGGGATCACACCAAGTGTCTGATAATATTAGCAGGAAATATTTTTTTTTCGCCTAAACACCATAGGAATCCTGGCGACGCGTTAAGATCAACGTTATTATTCGATCAAGTAAAATCTCTCTCTCTCTCTCTCTCTCTCTCTCTTTTTCTCTTTCTCTTTCCCTCTCTGTTACTCATTCGTTCATTTCATCTTTCGCATATCTCTCTTTCTCTCTATCCTTTCATATCTAATACCTGTTGCATCTCATTCTCTCTCTCTCTCTCTTTCTCTGTTTCTCATATATGTATGATCAGGCATATCTGCATGCATGTGCGTGTGTGTAGGTGTATGTGTAGGTGTATGTATAGATATATGTGTACGTGTACGTGTATATGTTTGTGTTTACTTCGAGTGATCCAGCATGTTTCCAAACATGAGATCTTTCAACGATTTCGTTCATCATCGAAAAGATCGTAGAAAATAGGATCGTTCTTGTAATGATAAACCAAAGAACAAGTTGACGAGAGTTCGGTGTCAGAATTATTATGTTAGAAATGAGGATTCCTTTTTAAGAGAGTTTCCTATTTCGATAATATTTTCTTTGGCACCGATGAAAAAAAAAAAAAAAAAAAAAAGTAAAAGAAAAAAACGTGAATTATTTATTATAACTTATGCACATAAGATCAATAATATAATATCGAAGAAATTTAGATCATTTATTTTACGTAACACTTGTTAACAAGTCGCAAATTAATTTCACTTTTAATGTTCTATCATACGAGTATTAAATTATAATCGGATGTATGGGTGTGTGTGTGTGCGCGCCTGTGTTTGTTTGCATTACGATTAGAAGAATCATTAGAGATGGTGATTGTTTGGTATCAAGTAGAAAGTAACGATGTTATGGTCAGCCTCTATAAGTATAAATTGACTTTATGTTACATATTAGGCGTAACTTATATGCTAAGGAAACAATGGCTATAGTATTGCATATTTTCATCGAAAAGGATAATAATCGTTAGACGTGAACGTTAGTACTATAAATCTTTAAGTCGAATAAACAGACGTCGATCGGATCTATAATTAAGGGATTATAGGAACTTTTAAATTATAGATAGAGCCCTGGCATATGATCCAGAGTGTTTTCATTCTATGATCTGAAATTTCAAAAAGCTGAAAATAATTTCCCCTTTTTATCCTCCTTCTCTCATTTTACCTCTTCTCATCTGTCGTTTGACCAAGAAAGAGAGAGAGAGAGAGAGAGAGAGAGAGAGAGAGAGAGAGAGAGAGAGAATGAGTGAATGAATGAGTGAAAGAGAAAGGGAGAGAGAAAGAGAGGAGGAAGAGGAAGGGAAGGATCTCAAAGGCGACTGGAAGTCGTTGATTTAAACGTTTCGGCATGTGTTAGGCTCGAGCAAGCATGATGTTCCGCCTGGTCTCATTAGCGAACATGCATGGAACTCAAAATTGAAAGTACTTTGGAGAGAGAGAGAAAGAGAGAGAGAGAGAGAGAGAGAGAGAGAGAGAGAGAGAGAGAGAGAGAGAGAGAGAGAAAGAGGGACGGACTGGTAGGTCATTTTTGATTATTGCTTCAAGCCATATAACATTTATCACTTTGAACCAATAGGAAATACTTACGAACTTCTCTCTGCATATTATTATCGAATTAAATAGAAAAAAAAAAATATATATATATATAATTAAATATAAATATTATATCGAATTAAAAGAAAAAATAAATAAATAAAAGAACAAGGATAAAAAAAATTCATCGAAGTTGACAGAAGTATGAAGTAAAGAATCTCTCTCTCTCTCTCTCTCTCTCTCCCTCTCTCTCTCTCCCTCTCTCTTACTCTTTTCGTATAGATTATGTATCGATATCGATAATAGCCCAATTTGAAATTCAATCCGGATCTTTTTCGTATATCGTCGCGACCTCATAAACTATTTCGAGTACGAGTGGCGGCTCTTTCCCAAATTTATAAGCAAGAACGTCGTATGCCGTTGGAACGGTGGGTGGACTAAAGAGACAGCCCGTGAATTAATGTTACCGAGGAGAGTTTAATTTAAACTCACCTCGCGATTCACAACGGAGACTTTGATACTGGATATTATGCTTATCATCTTCAACTTCCCGTTTCTCTGTTTATACCACTAGCCTGGAGTTATTAATGTCCGAAAAGTGGGGAGAGAATTGCGCTCTTATTTCCACCCTTAAAACTTTATCTCGTTAGACGACCCACGATTAGCCGAGTTGCTACTTCTCTCTCTCTCCTATCGTGAACGATTTTTATTTTATTTTTATTTTTTTTCTTTTTTCTTTTTTTTCTTTTCTTTTCTTTTCGATAATGACGAGAGGAAAATGAAATGAAGCGAAAATAAATAAATAAATAAATAAAAAAAAAAAAATACCCACGAGACCGATGATTTGTCGTTCGTGTCTAGATGAGAACTGAACGTTTGAACGTTCGTTGCCATCCCTTAAAAATTATACGAACGAATTTTTGGCCGCGATAGCTTTCTTCCGATTCGTCGAGTTCACGGACATGTCTAGTAGTGTCATTGGTTGTTTAAATCCTCCCCGCGTTTCTTATCCTTTACCCTTTGTAATTTATACGTGGGTGGGGGCTAGGTATCTATTATGGTAACATCGAATTCAGCATTGTGCCTGAAAATCGTCAGTCTGTTAGGAGCAATACGTGAGTTTGGTAACAGGCGATCGTTCTGATCTAACAATTATAATTATTGCGAATTAGCGATTAGAAAAATTTAGATCCTCTAAGGTATAGTGAATTCTATTAACGCTGTATTTCATATCATTTTTCTTCTTCTTTTTCTTTTTCTTTTCTTTGATTAGTTTACATCTTTTCTTTTTTCTTTTTTCCTTTCCTTTTTTATTTCATGCAACGTACGTGCTATTTATCACACATTTAGTCTCGCTCTACGATTGAACTTATTTAATCCATATAATTGATATATGATCGATTGATACAGATGATTCATAATTTGGATCCTTTGGATTCATCATGGTTTTTTTTTTTTTTTTAACGTTATGAAGAAAAAAGAAAGGAGAAAAATATTTTTCTTCACATTTCGAATTAAAAATTGTATTATTATTATTTTATCGAGATAGATAAAATTTATTTATAGAAAATTTATAGAAAGGTACATAAAATTTATTTATACAAAAAAAAAAAAAAAAAGAAAAATGATGTAATTCTATAAGATCGATTATTCGATATTTTCTATGGATTATAGAAGAATACGAGTAATTATTTCTTTATGATCGTAATGCGCAAAAAAAAGCTTGGTCGCGTCCGCAAATCTGATAAATTAGACGTGTGCATTTTCTATAGTCGAATAAACCACGTGATAAAGATTTTGCAAGAATTCTGACGTCGTTACATAATAAATTCTATACACGCTGCACAGTTTGGCTTAGTACCAGCCTCGAAATACGTAGATTCTTTCGTAATGAGGTGTGTCGTGCACCATCGCCTCTTGATTCCGGAAATTCCTCGTTCCCCTTTTACCGCCAACGCGATCCATAGAGTTTCTTGAGCATCGTTCAAGAATTAACTAAACGTTTGTAGAAATAAAAAAAAAAAAAATAAAAAAAAAAAAAAAAAAAAAAAAAAAAAAATTAGAAAAAAAAATATAAAAGGGGAAAAAAAAAGAACTAAAAAGGAAAAAAGAAATAAAAAGGAAATTTCCTAAGTACTTCGGATCACATTTAGTCGTGTATACGCATCGATAAATAAAATCGTTGTAATATTTTCTATCCTTAATTTAACAATCCTTATAACGATAATACGATTTTTATTTTAAGGCCTCAGAGGAATATCGGGAACACAGTACTCACAAAACTCATCGAGGAAAGAAATCTCGACAAAGGCAAGAGCAACACGTTGTTGAACAACGTAGCACCAGTATACAGGAGAGTTCAACGGTTACAACAAAGAGTAGCACAACCAATCAACAGAATTTATCAAAGAAGAACTTTAACGGTATCCGGCTGAACGGTATCCCCTTACCATTGTCCAGTGGTACAGTGACGTGTAAGTATTTATAATTTATATATTTATTCTATTATCTTTCCTTTTTATTTTTTTATTTTTTTTATTTTTTTTTATTTTTTTTTCATTCTACAATTTATAATAACAATTATATTATACATAATTATTTATTATAACAGTGAAATATTTAAGATCAATTTATCTATTAAGAAATACTTTACGAACGGAATTAGGAATGGAAAATGAAATGGATAAAAATACGAGAACGTAGGGAATACGTGAGAATTGAGAAAAATCTAAAAAGATATTCCAGAGTCTTATTTTTTTTTTCTTTTTCTTTTTTTTTTTTTTTTTTTTTGTTTTCTTTTTGTTCGTTTCACATTTGATAGGCGCCTTGAAATTCTTCGAAGAAGTTTATTTCAGTGATATAGTTGACGCAGCCGGAACGAATGTTCCCATCGAAAAGACGAGCACATGCTGTAGATCATCGCTGTCATCGAAATGATCACGATCAGAGAATGAACAATTTTCAAATTCTCTAAACGAATGTTAATTTTATTCATTCATTTTGACATACTCGTAACGATTTGTCTAGTTGAAATTACAAGAATATTTCTATGATATTAGAAAAATTTTACCGGTGTACTTAGTCCTTTGAGTTATAGGTACAACGTTTGATTGTATTTAACATCATTTGTTGTTAAGTTCTTTAAATAAATATCAACGTGTTAATAATCGTCGTCATAAAATATAAACGAATGATCATCATTGGCACGTTTACAAATATTTGTAAAGAAAATTGATAATACGAAAATAATTATAATTGATACTATTATTCAGGGATTGATGATTGATTGATACAAGGAGGAATCGAAAATATTTCTCATTGGATAATCAATGATTTTCATAAAATTCGTTTGTAATTTATTAACATTGGATATATCATCGATCGATTATTATTCATCCATCTCTTTTGTAATAAAATTTTTTTTTTAATTAATGAACCCGAATAAATCAGTGAATTCTCGAAATCATGAATAATATCTTGGACGTTATCCAAACATTTTTGATGCGCACTAGTAGACCTTACTCGTGTTCAACCAAATTCTATCCTCATTAATGATTTGTACGCCTGCTAACTCACGACATTGCTGTGATATTTGATGGACGCGACAGGTTTTCATGCTGTTCATTCTGGGTTTTGTAAAAGGGCCATAATCTAAGTTACGAGCGTATGCCTTTCACAAGAGACACGATGAAAATTATCATTCTTATTCACCTATAATTATACGTAATATATTATACCTTTAATGTCGTCTATCTCATCGTATATTGACATTAATGTAGTTTATTCGAAAATCAGGAGCTATTGATATATATATATATATATATATATATATATATATATATATTTATTTATTTACTTATGCACCGTTAATAAACTATTACATTCGTTCCTTTTTTTTCATTTTCTTTTTTTTTTTTTTTAATAATATAAATGAATATATTTTTTTAATATTATATATAAATATATATATATACACACACACACACATATATATATATTTAATATTTTGTACTTTTTAGAATCAGTAGGTCACTCATTAGACAATCTTTAAAATTCATTTATTTTTACGACGTATTTATCACATTTTATCTTCTTATATATAATAAATATGTGTGTGTGTGTGTGTGTGTTTATTTTTATTGATCATATAATTATCTAAAGATTCATCGGAGGAAAAAAAAGTATTCCTTTCATTCTTATTTGTTTTTCTTTGATATAAGCAACCTTCTCGAAAATCAATGATTTTGAAATTAATTCGAAGACGCAATGGATCTCAACTAAATGGTTAAATTTATTTTCTATATTTATTTAAATATCTAAATTCATATATCTACGTATATTTATCTGAACAAATATTTATATCAATTTTCGTGTTATTTATATCGATTTTCGTGTGTCGTTCATCAATATAAACAAGATTCTTTGAAATCAATAATAGATATTTGAATCGTCGCATTGAAATCACTGCAAATTTGCGTTAACAAATTTACGTTGCCTTAAGATCAATCGTATTTATAGTTAGGATGGAAGGTTCGGAAAAAAGAAAAGAAAAGGAAAAGAAAACGAACATAATTTTTTATTAACGTTGCATAAATAAATAAATAAATAAATAAATAAATAAATAAATAAATAAATAAATAAATAAATAAATACGTTGATGCGCAAAGAGTTGACAGACGGGACAGGTTTCATACGATTTCTCTAACGTGCTTGTTCCACCATTTTGCCAAAAATACGGTTAGAGGAGAGAGACAGAGAGAGCGAGAGAGACAGAGAGAGAGAGAGAGAGAGAGAGAGAGAGAGAGAGAGAGAGAGAGGTAGGAGTCGAACTGGAGGAGGAAGGGAGCTGGAAGAACGTATACGTACGGTGCTCGATGATGCATCGGAAATGCGACCGGGTGATATTAATATTGGATGATTAAGTGCCTTCGGATGCGCGGGCTCGAAGATGCTCCAAAAACCGGCGTCGACGGAAATCCATAAAAAGATCAATCCCTTCTCTCTTCTCCTTCGTCTCAACCTCTCTATCTCCATTACCTCCAATTCCACTTCCACCTCCATCTTCAACTTCTACTATTGCTCCTCTTCTTTTTTTTATTTTACCCCTCTCTCTCTCTCTCTCTCTCACTCTCTTTTTTTTTCTTTTTCTTTTACTCCAAACACGTGGAAAGCAACATGCGCTTTTGACTAATACTCGGTTATCGAACCATCATACTTCCACCATTTTGTAAGTTTCTATAATAATCGTCCATCGACCGTCTCGTTCAAATTTCTTTAGATTTCATTAGAAATTAATTGAATGTATTGTAATACAATATTCAAGAGAATTTTTATTTAATTCGAGATTTTTCTTTCGTATATCATATGCCTGTTTTTGTCATATTCCTAATACGTTTTTTTTTTTTTAAATAATCGATAATTTTATCCGATTTAACTACATTTTTTTTTTTTTTTTTTTTTTTTTTAGATGAATATATTCATAGGATAGTTCAGTTGAAAGTTATCATGATTAACATAGACGTATTTTGTTATCTTCTTAATTTATTTCTATAGATAATAGATAGTAATTCCCCGTCTCTATCTCGATCCAATTTATTCAACACTTTTATCAGAATTTAAATGAATAGATTTATTGGGATAATTTATTTCAAAATCTTTTTGTATCGTGATTATCATCCACGTATTTTCGTTATTATATATTTCATTAATTTATTTTTAAATAGTAATTCTCCTAACGCTTATATATTACAAATTTCTCCAGCACTTCTATTAGAACTTAATTATATATTTTTATAAAATATAATTTATATTTATAAAATAATTTAGTTGAATGTTTATACGACGATAGTAATACACGTATTACGTTATCTTCTTAATTACTTTCTAAATAGTAGTTCATCGTCGTTATCTTTTTGTTTAATCTCCTTACGAATTAATATAAATTTATACTTATAGGATAATTTAATAAAAAAATTTATATCATCGTTCTCAGAAATGTGTTTCGTTATCATCGTAATTAATTTCTATTGTCTTGTACGTAATAGTTAAAAAATATTGGATGGTATGTAGTAAATCTTTAACTTTGAGAACGACATATTTGAGGGATAAATTTGTGAGAGATCTTTTTTCTTTTTTTTTTTTTTTTTTTCTTTAACAATCGTCACTTTAATTATCGATCGAATAAATTTCTTCGATCATATAGATGAACTATAAGCTAGCGTATAAATATTTGATGTTTGACGTTGAATTATTATTCTTTTTTTTTTTTTTTTTTTTTTTTTTCTTTCATAAACTATCATAGATAAGGAAAGATATAAGATAGAAGGGATCATCTAGAAAGGTGTCCTTAGGATATCTCTCTCAACGTATTTTACTTTATATACTGTGCGATCCCGAATGTGATCCCGAAAATATCTTAGCAAGCTCTCTAAAGATATTTACGAGGCCATTATAAGAGGTTCCCTTCGAATATTTGCAGAATTCGCCGACTTATCTTTTTCCGTGATGTTAGGTAGCGGCGCCAAAAGATTCGCTCGTAAAAGTAAGACGGCATACTTTGTTACTTTGAGTTAGCGAGATGAATTTCTTTCTCTTTCTTTCTTTCTTTCTTTCTTTCTTTCTTTCTTTCTTTTTTTGTTTATCTCTTCTTCCCCCCCTCCCTCCACAACTCATCCCCTTGCCCCATTCCCCCTTCAAGATTTAAACAACCCAGCTAGGAAATTCTTTCAACGAAACATTAACTCATGATACGAGTATATATATATATATTAATTCGTTTACTTACGTATTTATCACTTTTTTTTCCCCTCTTCTTCCTCGACTTTTCGACGAGAATAAAAAGTTCAGGTTTAATTATCGATTAACGAGCGAACAGAACCATCATCCATCGGCTATAATTGATTAATGCACTGAGCAATTATCCATTAGTCGTTGAGTAACTTTATTTTTAAATGTTTTTTTTTTTACGATAATTGAAAAACTCGAAATTATATATTCTCTAATAGGAGTACGAGCTAATCTAATAATAATACAAAAAAAAAAAAAAAAAAAAAAATATAAGTTCGTTTGTATTATACATATATTTCCTTTTGTTTTTTTTTTTTTTTATTAGACAAAAAGAAAATGAGGAAAATTATCGAATGAATAATATATCGATGATTTTTGTTTTTAACACACGATCTTTTCTTTCTTTCTTTCTTTCTTTCTTTCTTTCTTTCTTTCTTTCTTTGTTTCTTTCTTTCTTTCTTTCTTTTTCTATTTTCAGAAAATTTTATAGAAAAAAAGAAAAGAAATATATATAATATATATATATATATATATATATATATTAAATTTATCGAAGAAAATAAATTGTTGCACTCTGGTTAGATATTTTAGCCAAGAAAAATTTATAAATAAATTGTAATACTGCGATCGCATATATTTGAGAATAAAAAAGAAAAAGAAAAAAAAAAAAGGGAAAGAAAAAAGAAAGAAGCAGAAGTACTATGATCTTTGGTGCGATCTAAATACGTCGAGAATATATATATATATATATATATATATATATATATATATATATATACACATTATCTAGCAGAAAGCTTATTATTCATTCGGTCAGATTTAATTAACGATAGATAATTAAAGAATCCTAGAAGAACTCGAATTACTCATGTATCTTTCAGATTAGATTTATGGTTAGCAGTTTATCGATGACTTTGTAATCATTAAAATCACGAGATATTCTTCGTGAGTAATGGAACGGAAGAGGTGATCGTTTGGGGTTGACGGTTGTCCGCAATCAGTCAGTTCAGGGTAACTTAGACTTAATCATGTTGCCTTTGGCGAGTGTTCCGCACCATCTTTGCGTTGGTGCAAAACGGTTTGATCGTTTCCTTGGCGACTTCCTTAAGTTAAATGAAAATGGTCGCGTAAGAGGAGCCAGGACGTAGCTCGCCAAATATTCATTCTTATCTGTCTTGAAAATTATTCCAGATTCTTTTGTTAATTTACTTAGACAAATTGTAAAATGAAAAATTTTTGTTTTTGTTTATTTTTTTTTTTTTTTTTTCTTTTTAATCATACGGCATAAAATCTAAGATAAATCAATGGAGTTTACATCTAATTCGAAATCAAAGAGGGACTAAGAAACAACATTTTGAAGAATATTTAAAACAATTTTAATATTTTCACAAATGTTATCTATACGTTTTAATTTAGCTCTTATTTATATCTATTATTAATCGTTTGGAAGGTATAGAAATCTAAAGAGGTGTCAATGTAATTTGGCAAATTTTCTTTTCGTATGTATAATAGAGGACGAAGGAGACACGAAGGAGTAGGGGCAAGGTGATATGATGATCGTTGGAGTGGTGGTAATGTCAGATGCTTGGTAGTGGAAGATTTAGGAATAGTAGAGGGAGAAGTTTGATAGACGTTGGACGATCTGGTTCCCTACGTGGTGATATAAAATCGCTTCTCCTGCTGGCTGGGCATACTGGAAAAAAGAAGAGAAAAAGGGGGGAAAAAAAAGAAAGAAAAAAGAAAGAAGGTCTCCCGGGCAGATCAGGCTGCCATCGTCCGGCTCTCGAGCGACTTTGGCAGCCTCGATCTCCTCAGTCTTGCCAGAGATGCGTCCTCGTGTGGTCGATTGACGACGACTCGACCTTCTGCTTCTTGCCTGCTGGAGGAAAAACGTCGTAGGAAAAACGAGACACCATCTGCGTCTCTTCCGTGATTAAATCCGATCACCACCCAAAACGACGCGTTTCTCTCGATCGGTTCAAAAGAAAACAAATTAAGGAAACATATATATATATATATACATACATACATACATATATATATATATATATATATATATATATATATATAAAAGAAAAAAAGGAAGAAAGAAAAAAAAATAAAATCAATTTCAGTCTTTGCGAAACTTTTGATCTTTGAAATACCTAATAAACTATGCGATTTGAAACTTGTTCGATCGCATTTCTTTAAAATCCTTCGAGTCTGAAGAAAGTCGAAAGAACATAACATACGCATTCAATATTTTCTCATTTCAAGAATAATAAGAAACAATAAAGAAATAGAGAAAATAAAAAAGGGGGGGGAAAGAAAAAAGAAAAAAAAAAGAAAAATAAAAATAAAAAGAAAAGAAAGATCAATTCGATCAGTGCCTTTTAAGATCGTACGGTATAGAAACAGGATAGGTTCAGGTTTTTTTCTTTAAGATCGATCGGTATCAACATACTGGAGACTCTTAAGATTATCAATCCTCTTGGGATCCGTTTTTCCTCGGATCGGGGACACGTTTCATCGTTCGTGGAATTCATGAACGTTCTCCGTTGTCATTTTTGGTGTTCCGATCGAGTGCGAAATTAACAACACCTTCGAGATGTTTTGGGAAGACGAATTAGACGACGTAGAGACCACGTGGGAAGAGGTGTCGACTTTTTATAGAGCCTGGTTGAAGAATTTTTCTTGCAGCGAGTTTGATCGACCGGAAAAACCAATTTGTTATGGAAGGGTCGATATAAATGAGAAAGAAGTGCCAGGTCCTGGGCTCGATTTTGCACCGCTCATTTTCCAGAGCCTTTACTACGTTAGCTCTCGAAAAGGTTTTCAATTATATGAGAGAGAACTTATCGTTCGATTTTTCTCACGTCTGTTTTTTCTTTTTTCTTTTTTCTTTTTTTTTTATTTTGCCTTACGAATAAAAGCACAACTTATCCAGTTTGTATTTATTAATTATTGAAAGTGATTGATTTTTGATCGCGTATAAACTAAAAAAAAATAAAAAAATAAAAAAAATAAAATAAAATAAAATAAAAAGAAAAAAATAAAAATACTTTCAGCCGAGGTAAAGATGCCGAGCGGTAACGTGGACAAACCAGTCATCGAGGATAATCACGATGGCACTGTATCTATCAAATATGAGCCAAGAGAGGAAGGTCTTCATGAGATTTACGTAAAGTTTAACGGGGAACATGTACAAGGTAAATTAATTAATTAAACACTCTTCTCTTCTATATATATATATATTTTTTTTTCCTCATTAAATTTATTATTTCTTTGACAGGATCACCGTTCAAATTCCACGTTGATTCTTTGGCAAGTGGTTACGTAACAGCCTACGGTCCAGGTTTGATTTACGGTGTCTGCGGAGAACCTGGAAACTTTACCATATCTACAAAGGGCGCAGGAGCCGGTGGTTTATCATTGGCCGTGGAAGGTCCTAGCAAGGCAGAAATATCATGCCATGACAACAAAGATGGCACGGTTTCTGTATCCTATCTACCTACTGCACCTGGAGAATATAAAATCAGTGTTAAGTTTGGTGACAAGCATATTAAGGGTAGTCCATACGTCGCCAAGATTACAGGTAAATTATTAAAATATCGTTGGACCATGATGTAACACATTTAATAAAATAATTTTAATAATAATAATATATATTAATAAAAAATATATATTACTTTTGTATTAAATATATATTATTAATATATATTATTAAAATATATAATATCGATGATAATAATATGTATATATTGAATTAAATAATAATATAAAAATTTTGTATTATCAATTAAAATTATGAAATTTGTAGGAGAGGGTCGTAAAAGGAATCAGATATCTGTTGGATCGTGTAGCGAGGTTCAGTTGCCTGGTAAAGTGCCTGATGCAGATATAAGATCTCTGAACGCTTCAATCACAGCACCAAGCGGTTTGGAAGAGCCATGCTTTTTGAAAAAGCTCCCTAGCGACAATGTTTGCGTTTCTTTCACACCACGAGAAGCTGGTTCGCATACCGTTGCCGTGAAACGAATGGGCAAGCATATACCAAACTCGCCATTCAAGATCGATGTTAAAGATCGCGAAGTTGGTGATGCTAAGAAGGTAAAAGTCTCTGGTGCGGCATTAAAGGAAGGCAAGACACACGTCGAGAATATCTTCTCGGTTGACACAAGAAACGCTGGTTTTGGTGGTTTGTCTCTTTCAATGGAAGGTCCGAGCAAGGTAGAGATTCAGTGCAAGGATAATGAGGATGGCACATTGAACATGTCTTACAAGCCTACCGAGCCTGGTTATTACATAGTAAATTTGAAATTTGCCGATCATCACGTGGAAGGTTCACCGTTCACCGTGAAAGTCAGTGGAGAAGGTAGCAATCGTCAGAGAGAGAAAATACAGAGGCAAAGAGAAGCCGTGCCGATAACCGAAGTTGGAAGTCAATGCAAGCTGACCTTCAAGATGCCTGGTATAACGTCCTTCGATCTCGCTGCTACTGTTACTTCGCCAGGTGGTGTTACGGAAGATGCAGAGATCAAGGAGGTCGAAGATGGTCTTTATGCTGTTGCATTCGTACCGAAGGAATTAGGCGTTCACACGGTTTCGGTTCGTTACAAGGAGATGCACATTCCCGGCTCACCCTTCCAATTCACGGTTGGTCCTTTGAGAGACGGTGGAGCTCACAGGGTCCACGCTGGTGGTCCTGGATTGGAACGAGGGGAACAAGGTGAACCTTGCGAGTTCAACATATGGACGAGAGAAGCTGGAGCTGGTGCATTGGCTGTCTCGGTTGAAGGCCCTAGCAAAGCTCAAATCGATTACAAAGATCGCAAAGATGGCAGCTGTTATGTCAGTTATGTCGCTTCTGAACCTGGTAAGCCCATTTGGCTTGGTAATAATTGGAATGATCATAATTTCGAAGATTCAAACGTTTCATACTTTCTAAAAAATCAACACGCTCGAATTATGCTCGAATGGTTCAAAGGTGCCGGGCGAAAACATCGATAAAATAGGCTTCTGTGACATTTATTAAGGGTTTCATCTAAAAAGATGGATCATTGCCAGCGTCGATTCATACCTCCTTCCTTGACGTTACCGATGTCGCCCATGTCACTACCTAGGAAAATTATGACGCATATAGGATCCATAATGTCAGTTACTTTGAGGCGTCCCTCGTCGTAAATTCAACCTCGATTAAGTCAGTCTATTTTATTTATGCATTGGTCATAATAAGTGAGAAAATTCTGGCTTAAGAACAGAAAAGTTTTACTACTTGTTCATTCATTCTAACGATTCATGAACAATTGCTGGAATATTCATAAAGATTTGTACGAACGTATTAACATCGAAATTATATATTGTCTTTTTATATCCGATAGATATTCGAAAAATCTAAAATTGTTTTTACGATGTCGTCATTATTTCCGAACGAAGTAAACATCAGACGCTTAGGAGACAAATAAGGCAGGTGTTCGTTCGTTCGTTCGTTCGTTCGTTCGTACGTTCGTTCGTTGGTATGTTGTCGAGACTCAGAAACACCCACTCATCGACCGGATTGATCGGCCGCTTTCAGCTGATCCCGAAATATCTTCGTCTATATTTGTTAAGGTGGATCCATATTTTGCCGTGGTGAGTTTGACTCACACCGCACACCGCACTGCGTGGATTATCGCGGTGGTTATATTTGGTCCATGTTCTGTGAGTGAATAAGAAAGAGATAGATAGAAAAAGAAGAGAGAGAGAGAGAGAGAGAGAGAGAGAAAGAGGAGAGTGGTGGTCGTAGCAAAGGAACGGATTCGAGATCAGCAGCTAGATTCAACCGAAAGTAGTGGTGCGCGATCAACCCACGGCTCTAGAGTTGTGTCCGTTCGCCACTCGTCGCTTTCCACACTCTTTCTTTTTTTTCCTTTTTATTTCTTCTTCTTCTTCTTCTTCTCTTCTATTTCTCCTTCTTTTTCGTTTCACCTTTTTCGCCTCCCCTTCACCACCACTACTATCACCACAACCACCACCACCACCACCACCACCACCACCACCACCACCACCACCACCACCACCACCACCACCACCACCACCACCACCACCACCACCATCATCATCATCACCACCACCACCACCATCACAACCACTACCACCACTACAACCACTACCACCACTACAACCACCACCACCACCACCACCATCATTATCATCATCATTCTTTTCTCTTTCCTTATCTTAGGCTATTCCGACTGTCTCTACTTCCTTTTCCTCTTATCTCAACGTAAGAGATAATTAATCTTGTTTCCGTCACAAAAAAAAAATCTTCATTTGCTGTGTTAGGACAACGCTTGAACGATGGCAACCTTCAAAGCGTCGACACAAATCATTTTGAAGGGGAACGAGCCCGAGGAATCAAACGACGATGGTTTGTCGATGACAAATTAATTTGTTTGTTTATTAGGAATAGTTGATCTCATTTCCTTTTCTCTTTTTTCTTTTTTTTTTTTTTTTTTTTTTCTTTTTCTTTTTCGACGTGATCGATTCATTCCATTCGTCGGAATGATTAGAAAGAATGATAAACGTTTGTATTATTCGACGATGATCATTTAATCTGACGGGATCGTTTTTCTTTTCTCTTTTTTTTTTTTCTTTAAATCGACTCGGCCAATTTTAATTGGTCCATTGAAAATCATCGTTTATCTGTTTTATATTTTAGGAGAATACAGAGTAGGAATAAAGTTCAACGATCAGCACATTCCTGACTCGCCGTACAAGGTTTACATATCGCCTGCTATGGGCGATGCTCACAAATTAGAGGTTGCACAATTTCCGGAAAGTGGAGTACAACCTGACAAGCCTTACACCTTCCTCGTACGCAAGAACGGAGCTAAGGGTGAATTGGACGGAAAGGTATGATCCTTTTAACGAGAAACGTCGTGTTCAAGGTCGATATGTAAAAAAAAAGAAAAAAAGCAGAAAAAAGAATCAAGGAAAGAAAAAAAATCATCGATCATATTACAAAAAAAAAAGAAAAAAAAAAAAAAGTCATCTTTTCAACATTCAAGGCTATTCGTCTCGCGCGAACGTTTTATTTTTCCTTGGAATTTTCCAAGTATCCATCGTATCTATCTATCTAACGAAAAATTATCTTGCGAAATACTAGACGAAAATAAGATTCCGGGCTGTTATGAAACGACCCTGACACATCATTTTGCGTAGGCAGCTATCGGCTTAAAATTTCTCTTTAATACCACTACTATAGTTCTATTTTATTACTATATTTTTTTCATGAACGTAGAAACGTATTACGATGATCTTGAAACGTTAACTTGTTAAGGTTGATCTTTGTCAAGGTCAATTAGATTGAAATTTTGTCGATTTAAACATTAAAAATAGTTTGTTTTTCTTTATCTCTTCTTTTCTTTTTTTTTTTTTTTTTTTTAGATTCTCTCATTGTTTATTTTTTGAAAATGACACAAAACATGACACACGACTTGTTTACAAATCTTAGAACTATATATAATCATTATTATATTTATCATTCATTTTTATAGATCGTATCGCCAAGCGGAATTGAGGATGATTGTTTCATTCAATCGATCGACTCTGACACATATTCCGTTAGATTCATGGCACGTGAGAATGGGATTCACAGTTTGCATCTGAAATTCAACGGAGTTCACATAACTGGTAGTCCGTATCGTATCAAGGTCGGTAAAGTGGACGCCGATCCAGCAGCATTGCACGCTTATGGCAATGGTCTGGTAGAGGTTAAGACGGGTCAGAAAACGGATTTCATCATTGATACTTGCAATGCCGGAAGCGGTGCTCTTGGTGTTACGGTCGATGGACCTAGTAAAGTCTCTATGGATTGTACCGAGGTCGAGGAAGGTTACAAGGTCAGGTATACGCCACTTGTACCTGGTGATTATTACATCAGCATCAAATACAATGGATATCATATCGTTGGCTCGCCATACAAGGTTTCGTGTACCGGTAGGTAACTCAATTGTTAAAATAAATTAAATATACGATTTTTATAATAAAATAAATTAATCTATCGTCGTATGAGAAATAGATAGAGAGAAAAAGAGAGAGAGAGAGAGAGAGAGAGAGAGAGAAAATACGTTTGAGATAGTTCAATGTAGAATGTTTTTTATTATCATAGGTGCGGATCTGGCAGAAAGAGGTGCACAAGAGACGAGCTCGATCCTGGTCGAGACTGTTCAGAAGATCTCGAAAGCAAAGCAAACTGGTCCTGTGTTACCGCTTTTTAAATCGGACGCGAGTAAGGTTACGAGCAAAGGCATGGGCCTGAAGAAAGCCTATTTGGGAAAGCAGAATCAATTCACCGTACATGCAAGTGATGCAGGTAAGCTTGAAAGTAGAAGAAGAAGAATAAGAAGGAGGTGGATGAGAATGTGGTGGTGGTGGTTCAAACCTGATTAAAAATTCATATCGAGTTTCTTCCTTTCTATCTGTTCCCTTTTTTTTTTCCATAAACGTAATCGATACAAACCGCTGTTAATTATACAGGAAACAACATTCTTTACGTTGGCGTGTACGGTCCCAAAGGACCATGCGAAGAGGTCTACATGAAGCACACAGGTCGAAACAACTACAACGTCAGTTACCTGGTGCGTGAGCGAGGAGAATATATCGTGATCGTCAAGTGGGGCGACGATCACATTCCTGGATCACCGTACAAGGTCGAGGTCTAAGGAGAAAAGAAATTCAACACAGAACAGCCCGGAGTATTGTCTTTCCTTACGTGGAATAAACGTCGCGAAGGAACTTTTTAAAAAGGACATATCCGTGTCTTCGATTTAGCACGATCTCGAATGGGAACGTATCGAATATGTATTCTCCTAGATCCCTCGATCAACGTTCTTCTTCTTATCCTTGTTCCTCGTGACATCGAATCTTGTATATTCCTAGCGATCGTTCCTCCTTCTCGTTTCTTTTCTCTGTCTCTCTCTCTCTCTCTCTCTTTCTTTCTTTCTTTCTTTCTTTCTCTCTTTTTTCTTTTTGTTGGATCGATCGCATCCTTTGCAACGTCTTCTCTTTCTCTCTTTTTCTATTCTCTCTCTCTCTCTCTCTTTCTCTTTTTCTCTCTGTCTGTCTGTCTGTCTGTCTGTCTGTCTGTCTTTCTCTTTCTCTTTCTCTTTATTTTTATCTCTTCTTGTCTCGTTTTCTCCTAAACCTTACTCGTCCTCATTGTAAATTGCAAGTTGGAAAAAGAAAAAAAAAAAAAAAGAAACTTGAAAGGCTATTTTTCTTGATAGATCTGCAGCTTCGTTCGTTTATTAATCATATCCTTCCTCGATTATTCTTATCGAGATCGATTAATTTCCCTTTAATCTTAGGTTTGTCTTATTTTACTTAAGTTTCCTTACTTAGGTTTCCCCATTCGTAGAATGGAGAACGATGATTATATTTCAAAGTGTCTCTCGAAAGTGGGTCAATTATATTCGTTCTTAACGATATCGCCGTATGTGCCTTTAATAATAATAATAATAATAATAATAAAAAGAAAAAAAATATATATATATAATAATAGATATCTTATAAATAGAAGAGAAAAGAAATGGGGAAAAAAAGTAGTAAACAAAAAATAATACAATGAAATTAAGATATATATATATACACACATATATATATATATAAATAAGATTTAATTTGATCATACGAATTGTATGAAAATGAAAATAGAATTGGGAAAAAGAAGAAAAAAAATAAAAAAAGAAAATAAAAAAAGCATGAAGTACGTGAATGAATAAAGGATAGTGTATCTAAACGTGCATAACTTGTGCTGCGATAAATCGATTTTTTTCTGATTGCATCACATTATATTATATCATTGACTATCTACGTATAGAATTAAATATATTACGATTGATTATTATACGTTAATACACATAGAGATTAAATAAATAATATATTTCTTAAAGAATTCATCAGTATTGTGTCTTAACAAAAAAAAAAAAAAAAGAAAAAAAAAGAAAACGAATATTCAATTATTATATACACATTATGTATATATTTTTCTTTTTAACAAGACGACATGTGTATATATATATACACATTTTTTTTCTTTACTTTACACAATTACATAAATCATTAGTTTCAGAATACGAAACACTACGGTAAGTAAAGATTACACGTCAATTTATTTATATAATAAATAAATACATACATATATATATATATATATATATATATAATAATAATAATAATAATAATAATGAATAAAGAAATGTATCATCATTATAATCACTTTGCACGATTTTTTGTAAACGAAAAAAAAAACAAAAAAAAAAAGATAGATCAATCCTAAGCGTGAGAAAAATTCTTTCGAAAGTATGATACAAAATGAAAAAAAAATAAAAAAAAAGCAAAAAAAGACAGAAAAAGATGAATAAATAAATAATTTACTTACTCTCGAAATGATCATTAGAGTCGTTCACATTTTATAACACCTATCCTTTTATAAAATCATCAGATAAAAAGAGCACGAAAAAACTAAAATAATAATAATAATAATAATAATAATAATAATAATAATAATAATAATAATAATAAGAAGAAGAAGAAGAAGAAGAAGTGATCGATTGTCGTTGTCATAAGAGAAAGAGAGTGAGAAAAAGAGAGAGAGATGACTCGTTGCGGAGAAAATTATTCACGCTCGGAAAGATCGTGGTTTTGTTTTAACAAAGAGACAGACAAAGATAGAAGAGTTATAAAGCTAGACGAAGATGACATATATATATATATATATATATATATATATATATATATATATAACATATACATACATGCATACATAGATACACATATATATGTATATATATATATATATATATATATATATATATATATATATATATATATATATATATATATAAAGATAGCAAGAAAAAAAAGAAAGAAGGGTTGGAAAGAAGAAGAAGAAGAAGAAGAAGAAGAGGGATGGTTGGATGAGAGGGAGGAAAAGAAAAAGACGTTTCTCTGGTGGTAACTCGAAACATATCGTCGTTGAGAAGTAGCATACTCGCTTTGATCGTAGGAGGTGATAGAAAGAGATAGACATATAGATGTAGAGGGAGAAAAAGAAAGAGAGAGAGAGAGAGAGAGAGAGACAAGGAACGAGGTAAATGAGGAGTAAGAGGAGGAAGAGTAGGAAGAAGGAGAGAAAGCTTTGAGACTGGGCCAGGACTCTGGTTGGCCTCCGCCTTGATAGGACGGTAGGCGGTAACAAAAGCGTTATAACTCGCTCGAGTTCGCAGGCGTAGCTGAGGTCCACACCAGAACGTTGAGAATTCAAGAGAGAGGGAGGTCTCGATGAAGCCCGGAGTTGCGCGTTCGGTGCTTTTACGAGCCTCCTCTCTCTGTCCTCTCTCTCACTCTCTCTCTCTCCCTCTCTCTCTCTCTCTCTCTCTCTCATACACACAATCTCTCTCCGTCTCTCTCTTTCTCTCTCTCTACTCCCTTCTCCGTCATCCAACGTCGCTGCTATTCCTCAGATCTATACGCCCCTCCCTCGCAGGAGGACGACGACTGGCTAACGCCTACGAAACGACGAGGAACCGAAAGATATTATTTGGCCTTTTGTTAGTCCAAAATCTTTAATTTTTTTCTTGTTTTTCTTTTTTTTCTTTTTTCTTTTTTTTTTTTTTTTTCTTTCTTTTTCATCCACGGTAATAAGGAAATTAACGTTTTTTCCTTTTCTTTTTTCTTTCTTTTTTCTTTAAATCTTTTTTTCGTCTGCTTTTCTTTTTTTCTTTTTCTGTCTTTTTTTTTTTTTTTTGATAAAGTCCGTTGAATTGTCAAATTTCTTTCGTTAAAGATTTCATCGGGGAATCTTGCTTTTTTTTTTTTTTTAAGGAGGGAGAGGGCAAGAGGGAGAGAGGGAGAGAGGGAGAGAGGGAGAGAGGGAGGGAGGTAGAGAGAGAGAGACATGTTCGTTCATTATTACGTTAAAATCAATGAAATTTTTTTAAATAGATATTCAAATGAACGAAAGACTCTATTAAGGACGACGTATTATCTTGTTTATTTTTGGGTTTTTTTTTTCTTTTTTTTTTCTATTTTATTTTTAATTATTTTCATCACTACTATTATTATATTACTATCTTCTTTTCTTTCTTCGTTTCTCCTTTCGATAGAAAGATAAATATGTTTCTATTCAAGTATTACTTTACAAAATACAATTTTTCAATACATACACAAACGTACATACATTTATATTTCGCATCGCAAAATTATTCTTCTTTTTTCCTTAGGATACCCTTCTTCTATACCAGAATTTATTTCAATGTCATCAAGAGAATGAAGAGAGAGAGAGAGAGAGAAATAAAAAGGAAAGAAAAACAAACAAAAACAAACAAATAAATGAATAAATAAAAGAAACACACGTTTTAGGGACCTGCAGTATGATCTCGTTGATTATGAAAAAAAAAAAAGAAAAAAGAAAAAAGGGCGAAAAGACGAGAAAAATCATTTCAGCATTCGAGCGAGAGATCAAAAGGCATGCTTTACAACGATTTGTTCTTTCAGAAAAAAGGAAAAAAAAAAAGAACCATACGAGACCGCACGAATACGGTTCGTTGAATTTTTCTACCACGGAGAGACATCTATAAAAGTTAACTAAAAAAAATAAGAGAGAGAGAGAGAGAGAAAATAAAAATAAAAAAAATATATATATATATATATATATATGAGAGAGAGAGAGAGAGAGAGAGGAAGAGAGAAGTCTGGAAGCTTTTCATAGACGAATAAAAAGTAATCGACATGAAACTCTCTCTTGCTAGAGGCGCGAACCTCTTGTAATAAGAGAGAGAGATGTAGGTATACGTAATTGTGTGTACACACACACGTACACACACACATACACAAACATACATATCTAGAGTACAAGAAGGATATACAGAGAGTTCTGTAGAGGAAAGGATAGGCGGAGCTTTCTGGTACCGCGCCTCCGCTTTAGCGAACCCACCTTTCCTGTTCTATTCCCCCAGTCGAATGCCCTGGTTGAGCTTTTCCCGAACCTTTTCCCATTTTCCCTCTCTCTCTCTCTCTCTCTCTTTCTCTCTCTCTCTGTTTCTATCTCTATCTCTTTCTCTCTCTCTATCTTTCTCCCTCTCGTACGACCTTTTCATCCCCACTACATCTCGACGACGATACACATAGTCGCACTCCTTTCTGTCCTTTCGACGAAAGCGCACCTGCAAACCACGGAGCTCCACCTCCCTGTCACCTCCGGCACCACCTTTTGCCTCAGCAATCCTCCTCCTCCTCCACCTCCTTCTCCGGCACTTTCTCTCTCTCTCTCTCTCTCTCTCTCTCTCTGTCTTTTTCAACACAAACACTCTCCTTCTCTCTCTTTTTATCTATCTATCTATCTATCTATCTCTTTCTTTCTCTTTCTTTCCTCTAGACTTCCGTCTTTCCTTCTTTACTGTCTTTACAGCTACGAATATACCTAGCTAGCTAGCTGCTACTTATCTATCTTTCTATCCATCCATCCATCCATCCATCCTTCCTTCCTTATCATTTTTTCTTTCCTTCCTTTTTTTTTTTTTTTTTTGCCTTCCAAGCACTTCCCTTCTATCCTTCTTCTCTAGCGTCGGCCATTTTGTACAATTTTTTGTCACATCCTTTCGTAACCTTCGGCTTTAATCAGAAAGAGGGAGAAAGAGGGTGAGAGAGAGAGAGAGAGAAAGTGAGAAGGAGATAAGAGACGGATATTAAACGCTCTACCTCTTTTATGGAAGAATACACAAGCCTTAGGATCCTTGTATTCTCTTTCGGTGTGTCTACTTGCGGTTGGATCTTGGCTTCCTTATTTCTCTACTAACTTGATTACTTTGGGAATTTTACTTATGTCAGAGGAAAAAGTTAACGGTTACTTCGTTTATTTCTTACTTACCTTTTAATACGATAACACGGTTAGGGTTCATTGTTCGCTGAAAAATCATTAATATTTTGATTTTACGTCATTTTTAAGAGACGTCTCTAATGTGTTTCATGCAAGACGTATCGAAAAATTATTCAATTTATATGGATAATCGAAATCCCTTTCATAGAAAATGATTATGGTGGATTGCCATTGACGTGTAAAATAATTTCAATGCTCAATTTCTATGAGAAATTATTAATAGTATATCATTGGAAAAATCTAAGTCGATTAATTTTAAAAAGAATTTATCAAAAGATATTTATCAAATTTGCTATTTATTTTAAGATTATTATTATGATGATCGATGATCGTTCAATTGTAAATAATTACGATGTTCGCATTTTTTTTTTTTTTTGAACATTCATTTCATTTATCAGAGATATATACGAACGAAAGAACTTTATCGATTTTAGAGAGAAAAAAGAACGGGAAAAAAAATTAAAAAAAAAAAAAAAAAAAAAAAAAAGAAAAAAGGAAAGAAAGAATTATGAAAATTATCATCGCGATTGTTAGCGTGTAAATAATTCTAATGTACATTGTAACTTGATAGATACGATCAAATCAAAAGAAATTAATCTTTTTTAGGAAAAATTGTAATTGTAAAAAATATCGTTTTTGGCCTGCATGTAAAATTACTTCGAAGATTTTCTTGAAGACGATTCTTACGATACAAAAGAAAAAAAAAAGAAGAGAAAAGAAAAGAAAAGAAAGAGAAAAAGAAAGAAAAAAAAGAAGAGGAAATGAAAGAAAAGAAAAGAAACTTGACTGTTTTTGGGAAGAATTATAATGACTATTATGGGAGATAATTGTAACGACACTACATTCCATGATCGTTTTATTATGGATTACAGAACAGCGTTCGGGGGGAGAAAAGAGGGTAGTTGCTACGCTTTTTCTTCTTTTTCTTCTTTTTCTTCTTTATTCTTCTTCTTCTTCTTTTTCTTCTTCTTCTTCGCCATTATCTTTTCTCATCGTATTTACATTATAGTCCTCGCGTTTGGCGAGCTAAACGATTCGACGATTAGCTAAATGCTTCGTTAATTATCATCGACGATCGGGAAGAAAAAAAAAGAAAAGTATTAGCGTCGATCGTTTCGCAAAAGGTTTAACGAGTTAAAAAAAACTCGATGATTTTTGTTTAGTTTGATAAACGAGGAACGATCGAGGCATCTTTCTTCTCGATCGTCGATAGGATCGATTTTTTAGAATTAGAACGAGAGAGTATCGTAAAACGCAAGGTGCGGGCTCGTCGTCGATCGTACACACGTCCTTTGAAAATGAGGGCCATTTTTAAGGAATTTTTTTCTTTTTTTTTTTTTTTTCTTTTTTTTTCTTCTTCTTCCTTTTTTTTTTTTTTCTAGCAACAAATCGTCTCCGTTTATTCCGTGTAAGTATAAGTGCGCGCGCGCGGTTTAATCATTCAAAGATAAAATGTATGTGTTTGGACTTTTGTTAATTCGCTCTTATCGAATAATTTTCATTTCTGCTTTTTTTTTTTCTTTTTTCTTTTTTTTTTTCTTTTTTTTTTTCTTTTTTTTTTTTTATAACGTACGCAAACACTTTACTTCTTACTTTACGAATTTTTGTTTTTTTTTTTTCGTTTTTTACCTTTTCTTTTTTTTTTTTTGTTTTTTTTTCTAGAAATTTAAAAAAACAAAGAAAAAAAGGAAGGAAAGAAAGAAGGAAAGAAAGAAAGAAAGAAAGAAAGAAAGGAAGAAAAAAAGAAAAAGAAAAGGAAAAAAGAAAAAGTTAATCAATTCCATTTGTAAATACGATCGACCTCATCAGTTCGCGATTTTAACGTTGGAAAAAGGGAGACGTAGGATCTACTTAAAAATTTGTCGTTCGTCTCGTTCCTCGATTTTATCTATCTCGAAAATTCCTAAATCAAATCATTCGATCTTAAATCATATCGAACGATGCCGTTTATGCGCTAAAGGAACGAGACGTTCAACAACTTTAATTCACGCCCGTTAATGGCTAAAAGAGTTAATTTACTAATCCTAAAAAGTGCGTTACACTCAGAGAAATAGAGAGAGAGAGAAAGAGAGAGAGAGAAAGAGAGAGAAAAAGAGAGAGAGAAAGAGAGAGAGAGAGAGAGAGAGAAAAAGAGAGAGAAAGGATACACTCCCTTTCTCTCTTTAATCGAAGGTATGATAGAGAAAAAAAAACGATCGCGAACGATCGATCTTTCTCCGTGTGTATCCGTGCGTGTATGTTTACGTGAGAGAGTTAATTTATGTTATACATTTATGAATTTACAAGTATTTACACGAAATTAGCGGATACATTCCGAACGACGATTCAATGAAACTATTTTCTTTTTTGTCTTTGTCATCATTCCGTCATCGTCGTCGTTCATTTTGTTCGTTCGTTCTTAATTTTCTTTCCCGTTGTTGTTGTTATTGTTGTTGTTATTGTTGTTTTTCTTTTTTTGTTATTTTTCTGTTTTTTTTTCTTTTTTTTCGTTTTTTTCCCTAAATTCTGTTTCGTAAATTGTATCGTATTGCATTGTATTGTTTCAGTCGAAGCATAGTAGGACATAGTTCGTCAATTGGTATACTTCATCATTATCATTATAATCATTCATACGAGATATCGTTCACATGTAGATCCGTCGTAGATCCGATGGCGAGGTGATCATGTTGCACTGAGGACAAAGCTTTTTCGCACCCTGAGAACAGATAATGATAAAAACTTTTTAACTTTTAATTTAATTCGAACGATTATATTTATTTTATTTTGTTCACATATATATTTATCTTCGTATTTAAGATATAATTAAATAAATGTGTATATTTTAAAGTTAAAGATATCTATCTATTTATCTATCTATTTATGTATATCTCGTATCAAAAACTACTGAACAGAATCATCATTAAAAGATAAAATGTCCATGATGTGATATAGGTATATCCAATTGCTATAGTTAAACCTTTGAACGGGTGGTGACTGGAATAATATAATACTTTAAAAACCATCCATGGCCATTATGGTAAACGAAAAAGAAATGTTGTGCAAAGTAGCTCCCCCGTTTCTGGCAAGATCTTCAACTTCTTCAATCGTTTTTATTCTTTATAAGCTTAAAGGAAACCAACACGGATTGTCCGGATAAGACATGAGATTTGAAAAAAGTGGTTCTTCTTCGAAAGTGTATCGACGAATGGACTGACGCAATTAGCGGTGCTTCTACGCGCTCTTCTTCTTACGGTTTAACGAGTACCTTACCTACCTACCTACCTACCTACCTACCTACCAACCTAACTAACCATAGTCTCTTTGGTCAAGAAAATTATTTATTCGATCGTCATCTCTTTCTTCCTATTTTTTTTTCTTTTCTTCTTCTTCTTCTTCTTTTTCTTTTTCTTTATTTCTCTTTTCTTTCTTTCATTACATTTTTCACATTTCATCTTGGATTATAGGCATTTCGTTCGAACCAAGAGAGAAAGGAATACTTACCAACGTATGTAACCAACATTGCTCGCAATGCACGTGCCAGCAGCATACAGACGTCACTGGTTTCTTATATTGTTCCTAAGGAAAGAGAAGATAAAATTCTTCGTTAAAGAAATTGTCTCTCTCTCTCTCTCTCTCTCTCTCTCTCTCTATATATATATATATATATATATATATATATGTGTGTGTGTGTGTGTATTGATATTCCTTGAAAAGTAAAAGATCTATCCGGAAAGGGAATTACTCTCTCGAGTAGATCGATCTGTTACATTAAACAATTATTTCAACTTCGATCTCATCTGTCGATTTAACCGGTTTTATCTAATTTAGAAAGTAAAACGATCAATTCCGATTCGAGTTGTTAAGGTCTTTAATATTTTTTACGACGTGCTAAAAAAAAAAGAGAAAAAAAAAGAAAGAAAAAAAAAAACTACTTAATTTGTCTGACAAACACACGTTAGGCTAAACTTTCCAATACTTTAACTTCTGTCATAATAATTAATCTCATAGAAAAAAAAAAAAAAAAAAAATGTATGTTTCTTATGATTTCTAACTAAGATTAAACGTATATAATATCTGTATCATTCATCAATGGGACAGATATATACGATCAATCGTCGATAATAATATTAAACGACAAATATAATTTAGCTAATACATTTTATATAATTTTTATTTTTACATTTGTTATTGTTATTATAGAATTTTTACTTTTATCAAAAACAAGAAAATATATCTGATATCGCGTATAAAATTGATTTATTTTAAGGGGAGGGAGGAAGAGAAATCGGGGTGGGGATGCGAGAAGGCCTGAGATGGGTGAATGTTCAAAAATTTTTCTACGTCTGAAAGTTCCCTCAAAGATTAATTTCTGCAGTGATATACGAAGTCGTTCATTCGGTAACTTCTGGAATTTTTAAAAAATTTAACTGTCAAAACAGTCGATAGAGTCTGCACTTTTTTTTTTTTTTATACTCGTGACAAATTTCCTTATAATTACGAATTATTCAATATCATTAAATGACGGAAAAAAAAAAGATTTTTTTTTGTCCATCGAACAAAAAATAATTTCTTTCAGAAGTCAATCTAATTAAATTCCATGCACTCTAACGTTAAATCATAGCAATAATCCAATTCAAAAGCAAATGTAAGAAGCTTTACAAACATTCTACAATATTTATTTGAATGTTTCATTTTAAACGAGAATTTTAAAAAACAATTTATATTATTCCATCACATTTCTTCAATTTTTGTTTTACATAATAATATATCGTCGTTTATTATTATTTCATTTTCGTTTTGTGAAAGAAGACGTTAAAAAAATACCATAATAACTAACCATGCAAATTAGACACTTGAATGGTTGACCACGCATTTCAGCCTCGAGTTCCTTGATCCTTCCTCGAAGAGCTTCGACGACAGGGGTTTCGCCATCCCTCCTTGGTGAAGATGAAACATTTTCATCGAGTTCGTTTTGTTGGCCAGGAATAGGCGTCGATGAGCTTGTTGTGGTCGTGGTACCTGGTTCCGGCTTGACCTCGAGCAACCCTTGCGTCAGCTGATCGGAATGAGGAGTGTGGGGTGCGTTTGGTGATATTACAGCTTCTCTAAGTGCGTCCCTCTCCTTTTGTTCCCTCGGTGTACCATCGATCCTTGGAGCGATAACATCGGCCTCGGAATATTGTGCCGGTCCAAATTCCGCAACGTCGTCACCATCGACGACCAGGTCTACGTCTTCCTCGTCTTGCTGATTTCCACCATCACCACCACCACCGCCCCCTCCTCCTCCACCTCCTCCTCCTCCTCCACCGCCACCACCACCGGAACCACGATTGCTCGAGGATGTCGCCAAACCAGCAGCTAAATTGATCATCATTTTTTATATATGTAGGAGGTATTTTTTTTTCTTTTTTGTTTTCTTTTTTCTTCTTTTTTTCTCTCTCTTCACGAACGAATAAAATTGGAAAATCTTTTTTATCACTTTTATAATTATAATGTAATTATATTATATTAATAATGTTATATGAGTTAAATCAATATAATTGTTTATTTAAGTTAAAAATATGTCAAACTAATAATTTATATTGATTCTTATCTTATTATTGTTATTAATGTTATATTAGTTAATATAAATTATATTAGTCAAGTTAATATGAAGTAAAATATAAGTGTTAATTATAAGTTAGACATTTTATTACTTAATATGACGATCAAATATATTTTTTTACGTAGATATTACTACTCTTAATATTTATTTTTTATCTTTTATTAATTTATGGTCGTTATTAGAGAAAAGAAAAGAAAGAAAGAAAAAGAAAAAGAAGAAAAAAGAAAAATAACATCAAATTATCCAATAATTTATTAATAAAACGGTAAATCTTATTATCTATTCAAAGTTACGAAAATGATTTGAAATAATTAAATAACTTATCGAATTTTATTATTTTCTTTATAATTATTTACACGAAATATTATAGATAATATATTTGAAATATCTCATTTTATTTGTTCGTAATGTTTTAATAGTGATTTTCTAGAGTGAAAAAGAAAAAAGAAAGGAAAAAGAGAAAAGAAAAAAAAAAGAAATTTATTAAACGATTAAAGATAGAAAAAACTCACCAGAAAATCCACCAACGAGCATTGACGTTGCCCGAACTCTTCTTTGACCTGCCCATTCATACTCTTCGAAGGTTTCCGCGTCACCCTCAACGTCGACTTCTTCTTCATCGAGATTCGAGTGTTGACCTGCTGGATTACCATTGTTGTGCTTGTTTAAACAACGTTCAACATGCTGATTCAATTCTTCCGGAGTACCAGACAGTCTCTCGCTACAAACTGGACAAGTTGGCTCGTCCGCTTTTCTCTTTCTATTCTTCACGCGAATCCTTGCCTAATAATAAAACGAAATAAAGAAATAATTTCATTTTCAAATTGTATAATACCTATATATGTAATAAACCTTTCTTGTTTCTCGTTTAATTTGATAAAAAAGAAAAAAAAAAAAAGAAAGATCAGGATAACGTTTACTCTCTAACGTATACTCTCTTAATAGTTAAAATTAAAGGGGAGAGTGGGGGAAGAAAAAAAGAAAAAAAGAAACAATAGAAATAAATCTAATTCTAAAAAAAAAAAAAAATATATATATATATTTATTTAATATCTATTTCTTTTTTGTTTCTTAAAAAAAAATATATATGTATATATATATATATATATATATATATATATATATATATATTGGATTAAATAAAAATTTTTTCTTTCCTCTTTTTTCTTTTCTTTTTTTGTTTTTTTCTTTTGGTCCCTTTCATAAATCAAATGATTATATTACAATAATTGACCTGTCTATTCGCCTTGATTCTTTTATAGGTCTCCCATCTACCCTGAGGTGTCTGATGAGGTGTTCCATGTGGTGGACCCTCGGCAGCCGACGGAGCATGTAACATCGGTCCATGCGGATGATCCTGAGGATGAACTGGTGGTAAAGTAGACCTCGGTGGCCGTGGTCGTGACGACGCTGACGAGATTTTATAAAGTCGATCGAGTTCTTGAGCAAAATGTTGCTCGAGTTCCTGCGGTCTCACTGTAACGCCACATACCGGACAACACGACGGATCCGAAGGGAATTTCTTTTTGCCTTTTGACAGAAACAAGAAAAAGGAAAAACAAAAAAAAAAGTGAAGATATAGAAAAATAGAACGAAACAAATTGGCTCATTAAAAACGTCTTATCTTTGATTTTTCAATGCTGATAATTTTAACTTAAATCTATAATCTAAGTGAATCTACTTACTTATGTATCTATATACATACACGTATATACGATATATACGTACACGTATGTGTATATATATATATATATATATATATATATATATATCTTTTTTAAACTAAAACATTCTATCGCGGGATAAGCGAGATCAGCAGATGCGAGACATCAAGCGAGAGTAACGCACGGATTTGTTTGCCCTCGTTTATTTGACGACCCGCGTGGAATTTTGGTTGGAAAAGTAATGTAAACAAAAAATCTTTCTCTCCGCTTGGATCTTGTAAAAGAGAAATCGAGGCCTCTAAAAATATTTCATAGGCGTTCTCACTCGATCAAAGAATAAAAATAATCCGTTTTAACAAGAAAAAGAAATAATAATAATAACAATAATAATAATAATAATTATTATTATTATTATTATTACTTTCTATTTTTAATACGTTCTCTTGATTCATAACGATGGAAATTTTTTTATTATCTTATCGATTTAATTATCGAAAAAAAAAAGAAGGATAGAATGAAATGGATGAAAGAATGTCGTAAAATATTTATGTATACATATTAATAAAATATCTAATAAATAAAGCGTGTATATATATATATATATAATATATAATAAATATAATATATATATATATATATATATATATATATATATATATATATATAATAAAAAATTATACACGTGCGTGAACATATATATATATATATATATATATATATATATAAGTACTTACATACACGTACATAAGTTTTATCCAAAAAGTAAACAAAGAATTCTGAAGACGCTTGCTTGTTTTTACAACTCGACCTTCGGCTACAACGTAGAGAGCGAAAGAGAGAGAGAGAGAGAGATAAAGACAGAAAGAGAGAAATAGAGAGAGAGAGAGAGAGAGAGAGAGAAAGAGAGAGAGACTAACTCTCGGTCGTTCAGTCGACGGATAACATTCGGCGTGAGTCAAGCTTGTCTTCGTGAAGAAGACGAGACACCATAAGAAGAAAGGAAGGAAGAGAAGAAAGGATGGGAAGAAAGGATGAGAGAACCTTTTGTCGAAATAAACGATTGGCTTGCGTAAGCATACTTTTCATTGTTTCGACCATAACATGATAACACGAGCGATACGATACACTTTTTAATTTTTATTTATAAATTTATATATTTGAAGAAGGTTAAAGACTAGACATTTCAATTTTTATCATATCGTCACAGTCGACGTTTATTTAGATCACGTCAGTATGGTATTCGTTCAATATTATTTCCGTCCTTCCTCTTCCTCATCCTCTTCTTCATTATACCATCTTTATTTTCTTTTCGATAAATCATACGCCATTTATATACCCACAATCATATGTTATTTTATCTATAAGTTAATTTAATACATTATTAATATATATATATATCAATAAGTTTTATTTATAGGTTATATATATATATATGTAGATATATACAAATTATTTGAAATAAGTTTATATATTAGAGATAAATATTTTCCAATTTTGATCTTATCAAGAGTCGACGTTTATTAGTATTATGTCAGTATGGTATTTGTTAAAGTATTACCATCCTTGTTTCTTTCTCGTCCACCTCAAATATTTCCTATCTCTTTTTTCTACGCTAACTTTCTCATCAGTCCATCTTTTTTCCCACCCCCCTCTCTTTTTCTTTCTCCACCAGCATCACCACCACCTCCTCTTCCTCCTCCTCCACCTCCTCTTACTTTTTCTTCTTTTTCTTCGTCCATCCGCTCTCTTTTCTTCTCCTTTTCTTTTCATTCTCTTTGTCCTTTAAACTCGCTCACCAGCATATCCTTTCCTTTCCTTCGTTTCCCCATTCAATTAGATACACCGGGCAAATTTATGTACGTGCCTTCGTACTCGATATTCCTTTCTTCTTTCCTTTATTGAACGAGACACCCTCTCCATTTTAGTATCATCCCCCCCACACGCCCTCCCACTGTTGCAGTCGTATGGAGTTCGATGGGAAATAATCATGAGAGGAGTATTCCGTACTTTTAGAAAACGATCTTCTCTCGATTAGATTCTTTTCTCCCTCTCTCTCTCTCTCTCTCTCTCTCTCTCTATCTTTCTTTTTTCCTTTATGCTTTCATTACTTTATTTATTCTCATACACGCGTTTACTTATTTTCTTTATTGCGTAATACATCTTGTAGCTATTTATATATTATATATATATATATATATATATATATATATATATATTATATTATATTAATAATATTAATAAAATACATACAGATAATATAGATAATTATATATAATATATACAATATATATATATATATATATATATATATATATAATATTACGTATTTATTTGTATTTCATTTCTCAATAATATCATCCCCACTTATATTATTTCAATCATTATAATCTTCATTATGTTCGAATATTAGAATAAACAAATCTTGTTTATCGATCCAAAGAAGGAGAAAAATACATTTTAAATATGCGACGTTATGTACTTAAGAAGAAAATAAGCTCGTCCATTATCACAAGAGATATCCTACAACGGTTACCATCTAGTGAACGAAGATACGACTTCTTCTTTTTCTTCTTCTTCTTCTTCTTTTCCTTTTTCTTTTTTTTTTCGAGGGTCGACATAATTAACGGAAGAGGAGGAGGGTCATCTTCTTTTAAGGGGTTGAAAATAAGGAGTGAAAAGTAGGAGGGAGTATAGTAGCAGGTGGCTAAGCCGCAGCCATAGTTCCTTATTTCTTTTATTTATTTTTTCTTCTTTTCTTTTTATATTCCTTCCTCTCTCTCTCTCTCCCTCTCTTTTTCTTTTTTCTTCATCTTCCCCTACTTCTTCTTCTTTTTCTTTCTTCCTCCCTCGTCCTCTATCTTTCTCTTGCCTTTTTATTTCTTTTCTTCACCTGCCGAAGAAGAACCTTCCCCCACTTAAACTTCCTCTTTTCTTTTCCTCCTCTTATCTCAAGGTGCCGTGAACATAACCACGCTATCATTTACATTTAGCTCTGTTGAAAGATAGATAGATAGAGTTAGAGAAAAAGACAGACAGACAGACAGAGACAGAGACACAGACAGAGACAGAGAGAGAGAGAGAGAGAGAGAGAGAGAGAGAGAGAGAGAGAGAGAGAGAGAGAGAGAGAGAGAGAGAGAGAGAGAGAGAGACGAAGAGGACAACGTGTTGGCGTTAGCGAGCAGAGAGATAGAGCGGTCGACGCGTATCTTTAATTAAAAAGAGGGCCGTCGGGACGCCTACCAACCATCTCCGGAACGAACGAAATAAAAACGGCGAAAACTCGTTGAGCTACTATCTCGATATTAAAAGAGACAACCTTGTCCTTTCATGGTTGGTACGTGGGCGCGAACTTGCTCTTTTCTTCTTTTCTCAGGAAAAAGAAAAGACAAAAAAAAAACAAGAAAATGTGTTTTTCTATTATAAGCATATTACGAATGTATCATATTTATTTATTTATTTATTTTTTTTATTTCTTTTCGGTATCTACATAAATAATCATAGTTATTAATGAAAAGAGAGAGAGAGAGAGAGAGAGAGAGAGAGAGAGAGAGAGAGAGAGAGAGAGAGAGAGAGAGAGAGAGAGAGAGAGAGAGAGAGAGAGAGAGAGAGAGAGAGAGAGAGACAGAAAAGAAATAACATTATTTTTACGTCGTTATTTTTTAATATAAAAATTGTAAATTGGTAATGTTTAAATCGACCGTGAAATAAAAAAGGGATGTTTTTCTATATGCATATTACGAGTATATTCTATTTATTTTTCTTTTTTTATTTTCAATATCTTTTTAAATAATCATGATTATTAATAAAATGTACACATATATATATATATATATATATATATATATATATATATAAATTTTTTTATTTCGTAATATCGTAGTGTAAAAATTGTAAATAAGTAATGTTTAAATCGATGGAAAAATTCGAAGAAAAGATTTTTTTGTTTACACGTATATTACGAATATATTCATAATATGTTTCATAAAATAATCATATATTAATAATAAAAGAAAATATATATATATATTTTTTTTTTCGTGACGTTATAGAATAAAAATTGTAAATAAATAAATAAGTAACGTTTACATTCTACGAAGATATAATAAAGGACTATTATTTTATACACACATTACACGAGTAATATTCCATACATTGTTTTATTTTTCTCGTATCATCATGAATAATCGTAATTAATAATAATAATAATAATAATAATAATAATAATAAGAAGAAGAAGAAGAAGAAGAAAAAAATATTTCAATTTTCCGATTTTATTGTGACAAAATGTGTGAGCGATATTTAAATTGACGTAAAATATTTTATTAACGATTAATAAAATAGAAGTCGACAAGTTTAAAAAGGATGGCGAGTTTTTCGTCAAATTTGTTTCCGACCGACGGAAGTCCTTCTGAAAGTGATTAAACGTCACTTTACCAGCAGGTTTCCGGTCACGCTTTGCAAAAAAAATGATAGAGGGGAGATAAGACGACTGCAAGGATGATGGCTTCATCGAGGACGTAAGTACATATGACTTGTCCGAGAGATAAAGAGTTTTACTCTTATCGATTTATCATTAATAATACTTGTTAAGCTGTTAAAGGAGAATCGTATTATGTCGTTCTATATATGATTGAATTAAAAATGATTAGAAATCTTTACCATTAAGAAAATATATATTTAGATAATTATAATTCACGCATAACGAATTTTCATTGAGCATTATTAAATGTGTAATAATTGTTATATCGATTTTATTAGAGTTTTTCTTTTTAAAAACGAACAAATATTTAACTATTAAACAAATTTTTTTTTTACGTTTAAATGTTTAGAATTTTTCTATTAATTTTATTAGATCTTTGTCTTTTTTTTTGTTTTTTTTTTTTTTTTTCTTTCTTTCTTTCTTTCTTTTTATAAAACGTAAACGTAGATGAGCATTGTGTCAAAATTTTGCGACAAGTTATGCGTTTCAAAAAAAAATTTTACGTTTCATTCGAGAGAAGGATTTACAAAGTTCATAGTAATTTTATTAGATATTTTTTTCTTCTTCCTTTTTCTTTATTTTTTAATCTTTTAATTTTTTTTTTTTTTTTTTTTTTTTTTTCAATAAAACAAAAACGGATAAGAATATTATCAAATTTTGCATCAGACTTTGGCGTTCTATTTACAGGAAGCTTTCCAGATATATAAATATGAATGTATATAAGTACATATATATATATATATATATATATATATATATATATATACAAAGAAGAAAGTAGAAGGGGGTGGAGTTTTAACGGTTACACCGAAAGTCGTCGTCGCTTCGTAGAATGGCGAACGAGAGACATTTGGCTGCAATTCGAGCTCCGCCTTTCCGGGTTTATGGCCTCGATTTGGATTCCTGGCGCATCGGCCGCCATGTGAATGCCTCTTTGATTTAATAGAGAACATCAACGCGAACTCGAAGGGCGAGAGAAGGGAGAAGAGAGAGAAAGAGAGAGAGAGAGAGAGAGAGAGAGAGAGAGAGAGACAAAGAAAAAGAGAGAGAGAGAGAGAGACTTGGCTGGTTGGGGTCGCAGGAAAGGGGTGAATCCTGATTTCTAACTCGGATGGGATGCTCGAATGAAAAGAGAAAATTTTATCGTCCGAATCATATGAAAATTCACTACTATCCTCCTTTATTTTATTTCATTTTATTTTTTCTTTCTTTTATTTTAATTTTATTTTCATCCTTTCGAATAAAAGAAAATTGTATATTAAGTACTTGTGCATTATATATTTCTTTTTTCTTTCTCTCTCTCTCTCTCTCTCTCTCTCTCTCTCTCTCTCTCTCTCTCTCTATTTTCTTTTTCCCCCACATTTCTCGACTCTCCACAGAAAATTAACTCTTATCTCTTCATGTATATTCATTCGACTTGTTTAGATATATATCTAACTTCCTTTGTTGTATATAAAATATAAATGAGTGAAAATTATCGCGTCGGTTAGCTCGTAAAATATAAAAGATATATCAACATACATACACGTATACGTATATCGTTAACATTGACTTTTTCTTTTTTTTTCTTTTTTTTTTTTTTTTTTTTT